ATTCAAAGGAACTTTACAGCAAAGCTTGTGTTTCCATCTCCAGCTTGAATCCAGGTGACCAGGGCTGGTGGCCAAGTCACAGCTGGCAGCCTCACAACAGCTACAGTTTGCACTCACACAGGGGAGGAAAGCTTTGCTGCATCAGCTCACTTCAGCCTTACTCCAAGGAGAGCTTGTTCCAGCTTACAGATAAGACAGCCCCTATGTCCTGCTGCTAAAGGCCTTCCCACAGCTCCTCAACCTCTCTATTCAAGTCCAGGAACAGCTGAACAAAGTTGGCTGACATTTGAATGCTCCCTCCCCCACATTCCAACCACACTAAGAGGAACACCCAGCTCCTCACCAGCTTCAAATACAGCTCCACATCCTTTTCCTTCAGGGTGGAATAGACCTTCTCCATTTTGTAGGTTATACCACACTGAGAATCATCCAAACTCTTAATGAAGTTGTCCCGAATTTCAGCCATTAGGTTGGTAAAGCAGAAAAACGTGTCAGCTTCAGCGTGTTCTGGGGAATTAAAGGAGGAAGTGAATGGAAGCACAGAGAAAGCATTGCTGTCAGAGGCACAAAGCTGCTCTGGGCTGATAACCTCATTGCTGTAGTGCATCTCACAAGACTTTGGCTGTGTACAGAGCAGCTGCAGTGCAGGCCCTGTGTGCACACTGAGGTCGTTGTGACACTTTGTGACAGTTATCTGCGGCCCAGAAGATCACCCAGTCTTGCTGCCATGAGCACGCAGCCCCAAAACTTTGAAGTGGGAGCAATGCAGAACTCCCCCCAGTCCATTCTTCTTCTTGCCCCACCCCTTCAGTTGTCCTTGTTAATCAAAAACAAAACACACACACAAAATAGAAACAAACAAAGCAACAGAGCAAAGAAAATAACCCCACTGTAACCCACACAGACGTATTTTTAGCACCAGAAGCAATAAAGGACTTGTATGAGGATATCAGGTTTCAATCAGGAAGAGAACTTCGATTCATACAAAACAAAAATCCCCCAAATCTCCACTTCTGATGCCCTCAGCACTCACAGCCCGTTCAGTCTCTGTCAGTCTACTGTGCTCCCAGAAATGCACAACCCTTTTTGCATTTGTTGGCTTTGGGGGTTTGTTTGTTTATTTCCTGATCAGTCAAAACTGAATTGCTTAGAGTCTCCATCCTGAAACACTGCTTCACACAGAGCATGCAGCACAACAGCCCCTATCCAGCATCCGAAAGAGCCTCTCACCTTTCCACTCGCTGTTAGGGTCTGTAGCAAAGGTGTAGTAAAGGGGCCCCACTATTTCATTCATCCCCTGAACGTAGGCTATCCCGGGGTTCAGCTTGGCATAGATGAAAAGGATTCGCTCCACCACTTCCCAGTGAGCTTCGCAGCCATTGGGCAGAACTTCGTATTCACCCAGAGAGTTAGGAGACGATTTAAGAGGGGAGCTCACCTGAAGAGCAAGGCAAGACTAGAGCTGATGAACAAAGCAGTCTGTGCTGCAACAGACAGTTCCCCTGAACCACTGCATCACCTGATCCCAGGCAGTAAGGAAACACAGCAGGGCCACTTCTTTGTAATGCAGGAAAAGGGGACAGACTGCAGCCAGCCACCTTCCCCAGCACCCAGTGCACAGCACTTATCATCTAACACCCAAAGAGGCAAAAGACATCACACGTTTCAGCTCTTCCCCAGCTCCTTTCCCAATTACAGTTTGAGGAGACCCAGCTCTGGAAGACTCTATCAATTCAGCTTCAGTAAATTAACCCTTCAGTGCTTTGTTCCCATGAAGGAAGGGACATCTCAGGCATAGCACATCTTCCTGGAACTCAGGAGAAAATAACCCTTACCATTAAACATACCTATGACTCCTGCCAACTTTTAAGCATGCCAGCTGGTTCTCTAAAGCTGTCTAGACACCAAATACACAGTATCTGCTTCTGCATTCACATAATTCCACCACACAAACACAAAAAGCCCGAGAACCACCAGCAGCCCCATCAGGGACCGTGCCATGCCCCAGGGGCAGCCCACACCCAGACCTCACATTTGTAACCCCGCTGCGGTTCCGTGCCACCGTCTGTGACTTCAGTGTGGTTTGCTCCACCCGCTTACGCAGCGTCTCAAATTCATTTTGGGGGTCCAGGATTAAAAGGCAGGGGTAGTCAGTTGGGCGCTGGAAAAATGCCATGTCAGGGTACAGCCTCCTAGGGTGGATGCAGGAGGAAATCAAGCATAAGAAGGAAGTAGGTGCCCAGTGCTAAACAGAAAGCTCAGTTGAATATTAAACTCGATTTTCAAAGTACAAAGTATTAGCAAAGCACTCAGGCTCACAAACCTGAGTCACTACACCATACACACCTGACGTCTTTGTCTATCTGGAGGAGCACCTCGTTATCCTTGAAGTAAGTATTCCACCGGCTGTCTGGGTTTGGATTGAGGGGCTGGAGAAATAAACAAGACAAAACCAAGCATCCTTCACGTGCACCAAAGCCCCCAGTAAATGCACACTGATGAACCATTCCTGCTGTCAGCCAAGCACAGGGCCCAATCCTTCTGGCACTGTGCTTAGTGCTGTTTCTTCAGACAGCACACAGTGTAGGAAGCAGATCAGAACTTGCAAAATAAGTGACTGTGTAGATTCACTGAAGTTAGAAACCAACATTTCCAATCCCTTTTCATATCCTTCTTCAAGACTTAGTTCCCAAATCAAGCATCCTGTCCTAAGGATGCTCTATTGCAGTTCCCACCTGTACAAAGGTGGTCTTTGCACCCAGCCCAAGAGTTAAGGCAACACATGAGTACCGTGGGATATCTCAGCTCTGAGAAGGCTGATTAAGCACATCCAGCACGCCCAGCAAAAAGGAAATGCATTATTAATGCCAACAACCTGTCCCCTATCTGACCAGTTTTCCATTATGACAAAGTTGGCTCCCCCTCTCCCACAGGCGCTTTCTTTTCTCCAGATCAAGATCTGCACAAGTTAATAATCATCTGACAGGAGAAAACACCATAAAAGGAACATTCCAAGAGATCCAAAGCTCACTGTAAGCTGCCAACGCACACAATGTTACAGACATTATAGTTTTACAGCCCTGGTGGATCACAGCAGCACAAATGACCACACACCAGCAGAACATCAATGTTCAGGACAAGCCCTGGAAGCAGCTGTAGCATTTACAGTCCTTATCTTCAGTTATATCATCCCCTGCCTTGACATAAACTTCGCAGTATTTTCAGAGCAGAAAGCAATGCAAATAAACAGTCAATAAATAATAATTAAAGAAGTCATTCATCAACAAACTGAAGATAAATCAACCTTCTGCTGCGGTCCAGCTGCACCCTCCTGCCTTTCAGAGCACCCTGTTCCCAGCCCACCCACAGATACAACATCCCTAAAGAGCGTCTCCTTGCTGAAGGGACCTCTCGCAACCCTCTGCTCTTCCCCAGCAGACCCACAGGCTGCACAGCCCCAAAGCAGGAGGGAAGACACACATGCAGCTGCACACAGCTCCATCCCCAGCTACCATTGTTTTGCCAGTAACTCAGCAGCTAAAGGTGGCTCAGACACATGCACAAGGCTGGCACCCAGGAACTGCCCCCCCTGCCAGCACAGGGCCAAGAGCAGCACAGGAATGCAGGCTACAGAACCACGGTTCAGAGCTACAGGGAATGTCCTGCAAAGCAAAGGTTAGCAGCACTTACATGATCCTCTAAGGTCACATCTTCCCTTGAGACACCGAGGTTGGCTTTGGCGATCCCAGGCTGAATAATCATTTCTTTTAGGAACTGGGAATACAGCTCCCTTAAGGAGGGAAACGAAACAGATAACATCAATGTAAGCGCTCGGCCTGAACTCACACAGACACCCCTGCACTGCTCCACTCAGCCTACATCTCATTTTCTATTATGTTGAGTTCAAATCCACAGACCCCAAGAACAGCACACGAGAGCAATTCCTTTTGCAGAGGTACTTAATTATTGAAGTCACCGCTCCCTTCCTCCACAGAATCCCATTAGAACGAAAAGAGCAAGCAGAGCCGTCCTCACCTCTGCTTCTTCAGCAAAGAGCTCCATAGGGCCCTCTCTAAGGGGAGATAGTTCAGCAGGATCTGCGCAGGACACAAACACACGTTAGGATCTGAGGAGCGCGGTGCCAACCTGCGGGCCGAGCCGAGCCGAGCCAACGCGGGGCAGCGGCGCTCCGCACATCGCTCAGCGCTTTGCCGGCCGGGCACATCGCAGCGCCCGGAGCCCAACGCAGCGCCGAGCCGGCGCACACACGGCTACCTCCGGGCAGCCCGGCAGCGACGAACTGCACGAACTGACGCGGATTCGGAGCGGCTGCCAAGTTCTGCACCTTCGTTTTGTTGTTTTTGTTTTTTTTTTTTACCCATTATGCGCCCCAAAGCACCGCCGGAGCGGCAGCACGCAGCGCCAGACGCACCTTCCAGCAGAGGCAGCGCAGCCCTCCGTCGAACGGGATTCCTGCGGGACAGCAGAGACGCGGCCGTCATTGCCGGTACGGCTCAGCCCCGGCGGGGCCGCCGCGCCGAAGTTCGGGGATCGGAGCGGGAGGGGCGGCCGCGGTCACAAGGAGCGCCGCGCCGTGCCGGACCCCCCCCGTCCCACTCACCACTGAAGCAGAGATCGCGAAGCTTGCCCAGAGCCACCGTGGGTTCGCCGAGCACCTCTTGGAAATCCGCGATCCTGCGGGGAAGCGGCGGCCGTTAGCGAGCAGGAGAACAGGCGGGCAGCGCTCCGCTCTGCTCCCGCTCCGCACCCACCTGGCCACGGCCCCGCACCCACCTGCTCCGGTGCAGCCGCGACATGGCTGCCCGACCCCGCGCGCCGCGCAACCGCTCCGGCTGGAAACGCCGCGCCCGCTGGGGGTGCGAAGCCCCGCCCCCCTGCCCATCGCCCCGCCCACCGCCGCAGGCTCCGCCCACTTTGCATCTCCCGGGGCGGTGTGAGGCGGTGCCGACGTCACGGGGTGCGGGCAGAGCACGGCGTCGTCGCACCTCGTGGCGTGCCGGTGCCCGGCCCGCAGAGAGGAGCGCGGCCCGGAGCCGCCTCCGCTCCCGGAGCTCCCCGGTGTCGCGGGGCGGTCGGAGCGTTCCGGCCCGGTCGGTGTTTCCTAGGGGGAACACGGCGGGTATCCGGTGCGGCGGCCCCGGCTGGCGGAAGTGACGGAGGGGTTTGTTGACAGCGGAGGCCGAAGCGGGGGGAGCGGGGCCCGAGGAGGACGCGGAGCCGGGGAGAGCCCGGGACCACCGCCGGCCCCATCCGCCGCGCTGGGCGGGGCCTGGGCCCAGGTGAGTGCCGCCGGTCCGCTCCCTCGGCCGGGCTCCGGGCGGCTGGGGGCGGTGCCGCCCCTCCGAGGAACCGCCGCTGCCGGCCCGAGCCCCGGCGGGACCACGGGGACGGTGCGGTGACCTCTGGGCGCCCCGGGAGCGGTCGGGCCCCGCGGGGCTGCGCTCGGGACTGCGGCCGGCCGGGGGCCGTGGGGCCGCGCACCTCCTCTGTGGCCCCGGGGGATCGAACGTGGACGGGGAACGTTCGCTCGGCTGCTGCGAACAGCTCCGCTCCGTGTTCGGTTTCCGTGCCGGAAGGCAGCGGTGACATTTCTTGCACCCGTGGCGATTCCCGCACCGGTTGCGATGAGCCATTAATGAACCGAAGCGCGGCGGATCGCGGCGTGAGAGGCCAGCTGAGTGACAGTGCGGTTTTCCATCAGGACGTGACCCGTACCACATTCTGCGTTTGCGTTAAATTGGTTCTTTTAAAGCCATTCCTTGCGGTCGGGTCACATCCACACGCGTCGTTTGTCCTCTCCTTGGACCAATCGCTGGTGCTGGAAGCTTTGCCAATCGCGTTTGTGGCAACATGAGCGTTGTGCCTCTGGCACGAAGCCACAGTGAGTCAGGCTTGGAGAGAGACCGAGAGAGAAGATGGTCTGAAGTTCAAGGTAGAGATTGGCACGGGCAGCCCCAGAGCAGCGCCAACCCTCGTGTGCCAGCGCTGCCAGAAATGCCCTAACGCTACAAACGTAGCCTGCAAAGAAGCAGCAGTTGCCAAAGAAGTTGCCTGGATCTGCGAGGCTGCTGATGGGGGAGTGAAGCTGCGTGTCTCAGCGCTGCAGTTTCCTTTGGGTGCTGGGAGGGTGCTGTTACTCCACAGAAGGCTGCAGGAGGGTACATGGGGTTTTGTATGCCTGCTTCGAGGTGCTCCGTTCCTCTGTGTGCTAAAATGAAAGCAAAACCACACAGAAAAATGAACTGGAAAGAAGATGCAGCTGCATTTCTAACTTTTTGATTCCTGCACTTGAACTTCTTTCGCATCTTTTACTTGGCCATTCAGAAACACGTGCAGTAGGTAGCGTATTGCCCGTCACTGGGAGGCATGGTGACAGGCTGCAGGGCAAGCAGCTTGCTGATGTACTGCCTGCAGAAAGCTGCCCGAGGATAGTGATTAGGCAAATGCTAATGATTTGTCAGCATCTCTATCTTGTTTATTTTTATCAACAAAGCACACTGAGCTTATAGCTAAGGATGATATTGATCAGTGCAGCTGTTGACTTCATTACTTCCCTGCCCACATCGTGTCTCGAGGCTGGTTAGAAGAGGCAGGGAGCAACCTGTACAAAAGGACCATGGTCACAGCTGCAGCTTGGGTGCTTCTCAGATGTGCACAATAAATCACGAGGATGAATGTTTTTCTCTGTGGACTACGTTCCGATGTCGGATTTTGTTGGTAGAGTGCTGGGAGCTCAGAATTTGAAGTGTAGCTGATTTCTCCAGGGCTGGGATCAACATCGTGCTGCTTGCAAGGGAGGGTTGTTAGAGCAGCAGGATGCCAATCCTTGCCCTCTCTAAGCTGCTTGGACAAATCCCAAGCACTGGTCCTGTCAGCAGCACGTAATAATAAATTGTTACTGAGAATTTAGAATTTGGTTTAGTTCTCTGTCCAGAAGCAGTAAAAAGTGGTAGAAGGCTGGCTCCAGTCCTGCTGTCTGATGGCTTGGGTGGACTGGTAGGGATAGCAGAACGTGTTTCCCTCCTGGCTCAGATCTTCCTGTTGATCTGGCCTTTCTGGAAAGATTCTCTCAAGGAAGCTTCAGGCAAAATACGTTCTGGAGGTGAAGCAGTTGCATCTCTGAAGCAGACGCCATGCAGAGTGCAGGAGCTTCCTCCCACATGCATCCTCTTAGGCAGGATCTCACTGCTAGCAAGGCAGTGCTCTGCTCTCAGTTGCCCATTTATTCCTTGGATTTCTCTCCTGCCAAATAGAGGAGGGAGCTGTTGATTATGGATTTCTTTCTCTTTTAGAACAAAGCTTACACATTTTCATTATTTGTACCATGCACATCTCAAAAGTCTCCACATTACCACAGCACCCGTAAGAAGTCGTAGTAGTGTTGTTAGATCAAGGCTCAGCAATGCAGGGAGGTTACCTTTTAGACTTTTTGGGGTCAGCACATTAAGTACATTTTTGTGATTGCTGAGTTTTTTATTCATTTTCTCCTCTGCTGTTGCTTGGAGACCTTTTCCTTCTTGAGCCAAAACCAGAGGACCTGCCTGAGATCACACTGAAAAGGCTGTGAAAGTTCTAGGTCAGAACACAGCAGGTCAGGAATTAGGGATTTAAACATGATTCTTACAGTAATTTACAGGTACAGTTCCCAAAAGTGTTATGGGAAGGAGAAATCACTGATCCAAGTGAAACCAGGTTCTGTCCTGGGTTTGTCCACTTACACTGGAGCAAGATTTGGCCCAGGGAGACACGGGCTGGGGTTGGTGTCCCCCAGGAATGATGCAGCATTGCAGTTCCTACTGCTACGCAAGAAGTAGCTCTGCTCATCCCATTTGCTTCTTGAGAGGCTCCTTTCTGTCTCGGGTTTATTCCTTGGTCGAGTCTTTGTCCCTGGCACTAAAGCATGCTCTTAAATAAAGAATTAATGAGACACGAAAGGAAGAAAAGAGCTTCGATTTGCAACTCGTGCAGCATAAGGAGGCACCAGAAGGCTGGGAGCACGGGCTGCCAGGCAGGCTCAGTCACAACTGTGTCCTGTTTCCCACAGAGACCATGTGGTGCTGCATCTGAAAGGTTACCTCATCCTCAGCTTTGGCTGATCCTTCATCCTGGTGGCACAACCCGGCGGCTGAACAGAACATCTGGAAGGGGAGGGAGGGTGGCTGAGTCACCAGGGGTGCCCTTGGGGTTAGTGCTTGAGGCAAGGAAACTGAGTTAAATGCTGAGAGTGCAGGAAAGAAAGGAGAGCATCTCTGGCTTTCTAAAGACAAATACCTTGATCTTTGTAGATGCAGACAGACATTTTGCAATAGTTTCCCCAGCTATGCTGCACAGGAGAATAACCGACTCCATAGCACCGATGTCCTCAGTACAGCAGGAACTTACCTATTGAAAAGACACAGATTTCACCTCACAAATAAACATTTCAATGCAATTTGTGTGTGCTCGTGGAAATGCATTGAAGGGTTCACATTAAGGTTGCTTCTAATATGATTTGGCCCTGTAAAAGTGAAGCGGTCTTCAGTCATTGCTCCTAAACACCCTCAGTGCACTCAGCTAGTTCTGCTTCGGCGCCAGTGAGCAAGCCTGAAAGCCAGAGCTATGAGATTTTTGAAATAAGGAAACAGACAGGACTAGCTTCCCCTATCTGCCTCACTATCCTCCTTTGTTCGGTAGTAAAAACCAAGGAGGGCAGAAGCCCCTTGCTTTTTTCCATGTTGATCACTCATACTTTTTATGACAGAATTTGGAATGTTTTAGTGAGTTCCAGCTGCCTGCACAGTGTCCAGCATCCCCTCTGGTTTCTGATCCACTTCATGGTCTAGTTCAAACACTTGCATGGAGCTTCTGGCTTGGAGCTGCAAAGAAACATCCAGCTTGAACATTAAGCTTCACTTGAAATGGCAGCAAACAATTACAGACACAAGGTTTGGGGTCACCAGATCCCACTGGGGCTATGCAAAAGGATCTTCCCAGCTGTACCTTCTCTGGTGGTTTGTTCAACCCACTCTGAAGGAAACCAAGCAATGTGGTTTCCACCACTTCCCCTTCAGAAGCCCTTTGTCAGCCAGATAACTTCTGCACTGAGGAAACATGTTAGGAAATGAGGCTATACAGCAAGAAAATGTTTCACATTAACTCATTCCCCCAGTGTCCCCTGAGGGAATTTAGTGCACAGCCCCAGAGGGACCAAACCACTGCAGGTTCTTCAGAGGTCAGCATTGGCAGGCTGTAACTGGAACTATTGGCATCCTGCTGGTACAATAGCTATGCAGCATGCTTTCCAGCGTGCCTTTCTTAACGAATCCTTTTTTCTCCTCCACTTACAGCTGCCCTGATGTCCCTGTAAATTCATCCTGGAATTTCATTTGAGGAAAGGATCTTCTGAATCAAAAGCTTCCTTCTGTTTTCCCCTCCCCACTGCTTCCCTGAAGATGGCATCCGACAGCCCGGAGTCACTCATGACCTTGTGCACAGATTTCTGCCTTCGCAACTTGGAGGGGACTCTGTGCTACTTACTGGACAATGAAACTCTCCGGCTCCATCCTGACATCTTCTTGCCAAGCGAGATCTGTGACAAACTCGTCAACGAGTACGTCTGGGCCTGTGGAGGAGCTCCTCTGGTTTGGATGGGAGCTGGGAGCTTGGGAAGGGGGAATCATAGTTTTCTAAAAAAAAGTGGTGGAAAGGATACAAGGAAAAAAATGGGAGGAATTCATAGGCCTGGTTTGGGTTTTTTTTGTTGTTTTGTTTTGTTTTTTTTCTGATGAGCCTCATATTGGAAATAAGGATTTGCATGAACTCCAGAAGGAATTGTCCCCTGGGAGTTATTGTATCCCGGCAGTCACCATTTCCATATATGTAAACCCTGAGTGAAATGAACAGTCCCTGCTTCTTCCAAGAACATCAGTAAGCAATAAAGGAGCCTCCCTATTTCCCATCACTGAATCATTACAACTCTCTCTCAAACCAGAAAAATAAGAGTACAAAGAGCTAACAGATGTCGCATTTTAAGGCTGCTGCTCCCATAGCTTCACAAGGCAACCTGTTTCCAGGGCTTTATCATTTGGCTATTAGTTTCCCTTGGCTGAACCCTTGCTTACGATGTCTGGCAGAAAACTGACCAAGCTAATTTTTTGAAAATGAAAAATCAAGTTAATAGCTTTAAACAGCATGGAAAAAAAAAATTCTAGAGTCTGTGCTTGGCAGAATCCAGTTTACTCAGAAATACATGACCTTGCACAAATCATTGCCTTAGATTTTCCTAAGGACTGTTAGTTTTGTGGAGGAAGAGCTAATAGCCCAGCCTCCAGGAGGAAGTCTGTGCTCATGCACTCGGTAACATCTTGTCAGAGCCAGGAAAGGTGCCAGGGCTGTAACTGAGCCTTTGTCTTCTGTTGTGCTGTGCTAACACCATTGCCTCAATACAGGTATGTGGAATTGGTGAAGACAGACAGCATCTTTGAACCCCATGAAAGCTTCTTCACCCTCTTCTCAGATCCACGGAGCACCAGGCTAGCTCGGATCCACTTGCGGGAGCAGATCGTGCAGGACCAGGATCTGGAGGCCATCAGGAAGCAGGTGGCATTGCAGTGACTGCCTCCAGCTGCCATTTCACATGGCTGCACTGTTGCGTGGGGACCAGCTAGAATCCCAGAAATCCAGACATTCCTGAGATTCCACACAGGTTTCTCTGGGAGAAACTCAGCATCTCCTTCCTCAGCTCCTAAAGGTGCTGTAGGGAATGGGGTGGGGATACTGGTCAAGTTTGGTGGTACAGGTTCTCAAGCTGTCCCTGAGAGGTGTTGTAGGGAGCAGGGTGGGCATTCCGCCTTTGAAATTCTTGTAACTGTTCCATTTCCCATCTTCCAGGATCTTGTTGAGCTCTACCTGACTAACTGCGAGAAGCTGACGGCCAAGAGTCTGCAAACTTTGGTGAGCTTCAGCCACACGCTTATCTCCCTTAGCCTCTTTGGATGCTGCAATATCTTCTATGAGGAAGAGAACCCCGGAGGCTGTGAAGACGACTGCTTGGTGAACCCCACTCGCCAGGTTTTGGTCAAGGACTTCACTTTTGAAGGCTTTAGCCGCTTGCGCTTCCTGAATCTGGGCCGCTTGATTGAAGGGGTCAACGTAGAGACATTGCTTCGGCCTTTGACCTCCCTTGCTGCTCTTGACCTCTCTGGGATCCAGCTGAATGATGTGGGATTTCTGACACAGTGGAAGGACAGTCTGGTTTCCTTAGTGCTTTACAACATGGACCTTTCAGAGGAGCACATCCAAGTGATTGCACAGCTTCACAAGCTCAGGTCAGCAGATCTCTTCTTCCTTATTTGTCTTTTTCCCACTGATAGGAACCATGCAGGTCTGTTAGAATGGGATATGTGCCTTTTCATGGACAGCCATCCATCCACTGCTGGCTTCAGCTTATCAACATTCCTATGAACAGGCTCATTCACCAACTCACTGCACGTCTGACATGGTTAAAGCCAGACTGGGTTTTGTTTGCAAAAATAGTAAATACAGAATCACAGAATCACCCGGGTTGGAAGGGACCTCAAGGATCATGTAGTTCCAACCCCTCTGCCTAGCAGGGCCACCAAACGTACACATTCAGATCAGGTTGCCCAGGACCCCGTCCAACCTGGCCTTGAACACGTCCAAAGACGGGGCATCCACAACCTCCCTGGGCAGCCCGTTCCAGGGCCTAACTACTCTCCTTGTAAAGAAAATACACACACAAAGAAAGAGCTTCCCTTCTCCCCTTCCCCCCCAAACAAACAAAAAAACCCAGCAGAACTCCCAAGAGATGGCAAAAAAAATGGCTGTAGATGTACACAGGTACTAGGATAGTGGTAATCATACTGAAATTTGGTCCTTCAAAACAATTGTTAAACAGGAACACCCAGACTTTGCTCTGAGGTAGAACCACAACAAACTCTCAGCTCAGAGCCATCTGCTCATTGCACGCTGTGTAAGTGCGCTGCTTGTGGATGGTGCAATCAAGGAACAAAACAGTGCAAAGAAATAGCTGGCAGCACTGACAGCAAAATGGCTTCCTGACACAGAATTGAGACAGTCGTTGTATCAGAAAAAGGATCCAGAACTTTCTCACCCAAAAAGAAAGGGGTACCACGTTAATGTACGACTCTGGAGTCTCAGCCAACCTTCTGGGTAACACTGACTAAATCCAAGTGACTTTAACTGCTGGTGAGCTGCAGTGAAACTTGGTCTATAATATGTAGAAGATACTTTTGTACGTATGATGTTGGTTTGTGTCTTAGGCAGTTTAGTTTCTCCCGAAGGATCTTTTCTTGGCAGACAAGCAGGCCCTGTCCTGTAAGGGACATTTGCACATTATAGCCAATGAGATTGTCCCACAACTTCCTCAGCTGCAGGGGTTTCCCAGAGCTTAAGCATTTAAATATCTGAAGGTAAATGAAATAATTAAGAGAATAATAGCCTGGGGTGGAAAAAAAAAAAAAAAGAGATCGGGAATGCAGACAAAAACTTGTGTCAGTTAATTTGTGGGATGAAGCAACAGATATTTCTGGGAATGCAAAGATCCTCTAGTGCATCTCAGTCACCAGGCAGAAATGCTCAGGTGGGCGCTTTGGTGGAGCTTGGGAAAGGCAGTTCCTGAGCCTAGAGCAATTTCCTTTGTGATGGCATAGCCAAATGACTCGTTGTGCTCCATTTTAAGTAGACCTCCACTAGATATGTGTGCTTTTGGTAGACACAAGGCCAGATCCTGCTGCCTGATCCTACAGAACCACATTCCTGTATCTTAGGAAGGACATAACAGTCACCACCACAGTCTGCTTGTCATTTTCCCCTGGCACAGCCACAGAAACCCCGCTGATGCTTTCCAGGCTCTGAGCTGCTCTCTGTCATTTGCAGACACTTGGATATCTCTCGAGACCATCTGTCCAGTTACTATAAATTCAAGCTGACCCGTCGGGTTCTAAACCTGTTTGTGGAAAACTTGGTAAACCTGACCTCGCTCGATATCTCAGGGCACACTATGCTGGAGAACTGCACTATCCCAAACATGGAAGAGAAGATGGGCCAGACAAGGTAAGGAAACAGCAATTACTGAGGTCTGCTTGGATTAGCTAGATGGGTCAGAGATGAATTACAGACTGTTCCCACTTTTGGGCTTCCAAATTCTGTGGGCCTAATTGATAGTAAAAAGCAAGATACAACTGTTGCTGGTTCTTGATGCTGAAGTCTAGAGTGGGAATCAGCTGTGATTTTTGTAAGTGACACAGGTAAGGACACGTTAGTACTAACAAAGATTTGTTCTGCCTAGCTTACATACATCTCTACATTCCACATAGATTCTTCCAGAGGTCTCTTGCAGTGGTTTATATATCCAGAGCCCTTTACACATTTCCTACATAAAACATATAAAATACTGACTGAAATTAGGCCCTTCTGAGACAGGAGGTTTTATACACTCAGTCAAGACATCAGTGTTCATAGGATGACTGAGTGCTTTAGAAACTTAAAATCTAAAGGCAGATTTTCAGATCTGACCTGAATGCTGCACAGACCAACTTTTGAAAATCTTGGTGCACCTCAGCAGGACAGACCTAGAGGAGTGGCTTTCCAGGTCAGCCAAGAACTCTGCCCTCCTGTTCCCTAAGCACTTACTGGACAAAAGCAAACAAATGAGACAGTACTGTCTTCTTCACAAAGTTGGTTTTATATATATATATATACATGCACACACCAAGAGCATATATATATTATATATAGGCTCTTGGTCAATAAGGGACATGGCAGCAATAAAAGAAGTGTTCTTGCATGATCACAGAAGCAGACTAGCATGTTTATCAGATGATACACCATCAAGTTTGCAAATAGTTTAGACCAGTGAAATCCACGTTCCTAAGAAAGTCTTTGCCCTAGCTTGTTATATTTCCAGGACAAATTCTGTCCAGGAAAGCTGCATTCTGACATAAATTCTTACTGCTGTTTTAGTTCCTCAGTGTGTTTAGCCTTTTGCTCAGGTTCACCTGGGACTCATCATGCCTGTTTAGGTTTAGGAGAAGCTGGTTGGTGCACAACTGAAATACAGATATTATCACTCTAGTTACAGAGCAGTACAGACAAAGTGAGCAGAGAACAAGCAGCTGTCTCTGTGGCCTGGAGAAGCAGGGTACCAACATGACTCACCTCTTTCTTTCCTCAGCATTGAGCCAGCAAAGAGCAGCATTGCTCCCTTCCGGGGTTTGAAACGACCACTCCAATTCCTGGGCCTTTTTGAAACATCTCTCTGCCGCCTGACGCATATTCCAGCCTATAAGGTAACGAGGGTGTCAGAATATTGGTAGTAGGTACTTGGTAGAAGTTCAGAGATCTGCCTGCTAATAGAGAGAGTTCTTAGGGTTTTGTGTGTGACAATTTAGCTCTCACCTTTCAGTAGCTACTTGATAATGCAGGAGAGCGGTCAGAAGGCAAAACCCACACCCCACACAGCTCTTACAAGTGCTAAAGAAACCAAAACAACAACAGAAAACACCAAACACCTCTTAGAGAAGGGCCTGAAGAAATCATCCTGACTGAAGGACCAGGGTGTCTGTGACTACCAGAGATAGAATTTTGTGTCCTTCTGGGCTGAGAAGTGACTCACCTTCTTTGTTCCCATCATGGGCCAAGTCCTACAACAGGACAGAGGACACTTGTACCCTCTGACCTTTCAGACCTACCAGTTTGCTTTCTTCATTCTTTCTTCCCTGTCTCTTGTTCCTCCTTGCCAGGTGAGTGGAGACAAGAATGAAGAGCAAGTTCTGAACGCTATCGAGGCTTACACTGAACACCGGCCAGAAATCACTTCTCGTGCCATCAACCTCCTTTTTGACATCGCCCGTATCGAGCGTTGCAGCCAGCTGCTGCGAGCTCTCCAGGTAAGCATCACGTGAGCATTTAACTCACACTTACAAGGGAAATTTCACAGTCCCAGCCTTTTCTTCACCCTGAGATGCCACATAATTCTGGAGAAAGTTCCAGTAGAATGGCAGAACTAAGTGCCTTCACCTCATGAGCATCTTCCTGCAACACCTGAGCTGTGCATTCCTTGTAGCCTTGTAGCCTTTGCCACACACAGCCATAACTGTCACTCCAAGACTCCACAGCAAGTCAGTGGCACTGAAACTTCACGTTCTTTCCTTGCAGCTGGTGATCACAGCCCTCAAGTGCCACAAGGATGACAAAAACATCCAGGTGACAGGCAGTGCTGCACTGTTTTACCTGACCAACTCCGAGTACCGCATGGAGCAGAGCATAAAGCTGCGACGCCAGGTCATCCAGGTGGTGCTGAATGGCATGGAGTCCTACCAGGAAGTCACAGTAAGAGCTGCCCAGCTTGCTTTGGCTCCCATAGTTCTCCTTCCCCGTATTACATCTTTAGCTTGGTGTTAGGATTTGCATTTTCTAAGCCTCCAATACATGAGCTGAGGCAGGCATCAGAGAACCTATTGCCCAGATCTGCTTTTTGTCTTCACTCAGGTGTTAGGGATTACACACAAGGTGCTCCTTATCCATGTGATGTTCTCCAGAACCGGGAGAAGTAAGTGATAATAGCTAGGCACCTTTTTAGCTGATGTTAGTGGTCAAAAAATGTACAATCCACAGCATAGATGTCCAGCACAGACTATGAGTTGAAAATGGTTGAGGGTGTTGGGTTCTTTAGTCAACAGAAAGAAACAGTATGCCAATGCACTCTCATCAGAAGTGCTGACGCTGGGCTACAGCAAGTGACTTCTGAATGGAAAGCTTATAGACAGTGAAGAACTGGCTTAGAAAGTGACACGTACTGGGTGATTGGGTGGCCACTTGAGACCAGAGTGACAGTGAGGAAGAAGTACCTACTGAGAGCTTAGCTAAAGCAGAGTTCTAGGGAGGAGAGTAGCAAACTGTAGCGCTATGATTTCAGTACCAAGCAACAAGGGAACATGAGGTGGTTAGGTCATGTTTTCATAGCCACCTGGTGCAGCATTTGCTTCCTTATGACCCAGGTACAGCGGAACTGCTGCCTCACACTGTGCAACTTCAGCATTCCTGAGGAGCTGGAGTTCCAGTACCGCCGAGTAAATGAGCTGCTGCTGAACATCCTCAACCAGAGCCGGCAGGATGAGTCTATCCAGCGCATTGCCGTGCACCTCTGTAATGCTCTGGTCTGCCAGGTGGACAACGATCATAAAGAAGCTGTGGGCAAGATGGGTTTTGTCATGGTTGGTATGGTCCCAAGGTGTCTTCTTATCCTTAACCCAAGCTACCACCATTTCCTTGCAGCCATGCACCAAATGCATCCAGGCAGTGAACCAAGTTTACTGTATCATAGAAGGGAGCATCTGTCCCAGCAAGGCTAACCTATCCTGAACCCTGCCCTTCCATGTGGCATCTTTTACTGGCTTGCAAACACTAGAAGTCATGGTCTCAGAGACAGGCTGTCCATGAAAGCAGTGTGACCTGACACGTTCCATCTTCATTACACCATACAATTTCCAGAACTGGTAAAACCTTTTGACTATTTCCTTCTGCACCTCCCTGAGTTTGCATCAGATTTCCAACTTACATCAGTGCATATCTCACCCCTTGAAAAGAACTGCAGAGGCCGCTGCTTTGTTGCAGTTACACCACATTCCAAACTTTGACTGCAAACCCAGCAGTTCAGGGAGCGTGACTTAGTTTAGCTCTGCAAATACTTGCAACACGGAACATAACCTAGTGCCACTGGTTTAGAGAAAGGTGTACTAGTTAGATACTCTGCAAAAGGTCACAATTGCACACACTTACAGTTTGCTGTAGCCAGCTCTGCAGCAGCTGAACCTGTTGGTTTTAGCTCTGTGATTCTTGAACTGTTCTCACTGTTCCCCTTCCTCTGCCCACAGACAATGCTAAAATTGATTCAGAAGAAGCTGGCTGATAAAACGGTGAGTGTTACCCACTAAAATGTATAAATAATATTTTCTTTACTCTGACTTGGGCACGGAGATGGTCTGGAGTGCCAGCCCAGCCTCTCTACCTAACATGGGAAATCCCAGCTGGCACTGCAGAATTTTCTGTCATAGTGGTGAGGGCTGAAGGGACAAACATAGCAGGGAGACAAAAATAGTTAAAAACAAAAACCCACTTGCAAACAAGTTGAAAGCAAATAACAAGATTTTCTTACCTCTGAAGTTATCTGGGGTGATGTCAGAGATGAAGCAAGTATTTGGTTTGCACCAGGCTCTTACATTAGCAAAGCTGTTTCTTCATCCTTGCAGTGTGATCAGGTGATGGAGTTCTCATGGAGTGCTCTCTGGAACATTACTGATGAGACTCCTGACAACTGCGAGATGTTCCTCAACTACAGTGGTATGAAACTGTTCTTGGAGTGCTTGAAAGTAAGTATGGCTGGTTTCCTCTAGATGAATGCTGACATTAGCAGCAGAGATGAAAATAGCTAAGCTAACTCATAAGCAATACTTCCTATATTGCGTAAATGGAAGAAAGTTGCATATTTCATTCTTTCTGTGATCCAACCAGAAGAACAGAGAAACTTAAACTCAGCACATCTTCCTTTTTCCTGTCTTATACACACTCCTCCTTAAGCAGGGCAGCAGTGAATGATAGGCCCTAGCCTGTGATGTTCTCATATCACACGTCTCTTGAATGCTAGATACCATTGGAAATCTGCTAAAAAAACACTGATAGCTACCCAAAAATCCTCATCCTTTCTAGATGTGCTTTCTGCATAGTTTCTCATTCCTGTTGTCACCATATCTCTGCTACTGTATAATCCTGTCTCTTGCTTTCTTAGGAGTTCCCAGAGAAACAGGAGCTGCACCGCAATATGTTGGGCCTCCTGGGCAATGTGGCTGAGGTCAGGGAACTCCGTCCACAGCTCATGACCTCCCAATTCATCAGTGTGTTCAGGTGAGTGCCTAGCTCACAAACAGCTGGGCTGGGGCAGGAGGAGCGCTCCGGAGCTCTGCTCCCACATCACCTGGAGACTTTTCAGCTTTTGATGCATCAGATTGGGTTTTTGGTCATTCAAAAAAAAGCTAAAAGGAAATAATAAGATACCTGAGTGAATGCGTTGGATTGTAAGGGTTTGGTTGTGATGTTAATGTTGCTGGAAAGCTGCATCTCTGAAGGGCACAACTCCTGTTTCAGGCTGGAGATATTTTCTCAATAATCATCTCTGATGTAGATAAAAGATGTGATTGTTTTGGGAAGATGCTGAATAAGGTTATTCTGGCACCTCTAAATGATTTCTTCTCCCTCGGCAGCAATCTGCTAGAGAGCAAAGCAGATGGGATTGAGGTATCCTATAATGCCTGTGGGGTGCTCTCCCATATCATGTTTGATGGTCCGGAGGCTTGGGGTATTTGTGAGCCCCACCGAGAGGAAGTTGTAAAGAGGATGTGGGCAGCCATCCAGAGCTGGGATATCAACTCCAGAAGAAATATCAATTACAGGTGAGAAACAGAGGAGTTTGTCCCATTTACTCAGAGCCAGGATTGTCACAGAAAGCAAACACCAACAGATGAAAGGAAAGAGATACAGCCAAGCATGGAGGCTCTGCTTAGAATGGAGGAGAAATCCTTAGGAATGTATTCTTCAGTGAGAGTTTCACATCTTCCTTTGAGTCAGGGTTACATCATGTACACATGTTACACAGGCTGCTAAAATTCGATACCTTGCCTGGCAATTCTTATGGGAGGAGCATGGGAACACAGCAGAATTTATCCTGCATGTTTCTGGTGGAATTGTGTAGTTCAGGAAACCCATGATCTGACTGTCTGGTGAGACTGACTAAATGATGTTCTCTGAGACTTCCATCCTTTGCACCTCTTCAGTACTGCTTAATAAGTCACACGTGTTGCTGTGCTTTCACTCTCCTTTGGAGAATATCTAGACAGAGTGTCCAGAAATCTCTTAATGGGTTAAAGCAGCTGGTGGCATCCTCCAAAGCTTTTCCTCTATAAGGGTATCAGGTATTCTGTTTTCCCATAGTGCTTGGCAGGGATCCCAAACAAATAGCATTCCAGTGCTTTTGCTACAGTATGCACATGTTATCGTCATAAGAAACAGAGCAGCTGTTGCATGTGAGCAGCTGGCATTGGATGGGTATAATTTTGCTTTGGACCTTCTACAGAGCTGTCAGTGGTGCTGTTTCAGCTGTCATAAGAAAATGACTGACAGAGAATAGAAATCAGCTGACTTCTTTGCAGTTATTTATTTGGGCAGCATGTTTATGCTGAAGTGGTAGGGCCTGTAAGCCTGCCAGTATTGCCATGGGACACAGACTTGGTCTTTGATGCCAGAATCTTTAGCATGCTAAAGGATTTACTGCTACGGTGTCTATGAACACAGAGTACGTATTGCTTTGAGTGACAAAGGTGCTGAAAGAAGCAGTTCTTGGATTTTTAACAACTTCTACAATATTTCTGTGCAGGTCATTTGAACCAATCCTTCGACTTCTTCCACAAGGGATCTCTCCTGTCAGCCAGCACTGGGCTACCTGGGCACTCTATAACTTGGTCTCTGTCTACCGTAAGTTTTAAAATCACATCCATTGCACTGCACAAGTTCACACAGTGGATCTAAGCTTCTTAGCAGAAAAACTGAGCCCAGTTTAGCTATGTAGTTAGCAAGAGCCTTATCTGAATAATTTAGTAATGTCCAGGCAGCATAGCCAAGCAATAAACAACACGTCATGTATAGGAAATTTCTTCAATGTTTAGATCCCTCTGGCCATGCTCTTCTCAGTCATTTTGTACCTTAATTTTACAGTCAACCCTTAACAGGTTGGCTCCATAAAAAATTAAAGTTCTGTTACTTCTCCAACCTTCCCCTCCTGCCACTCTTTATACTGCTTTTGGAAAGGTTCACAAGAACTTGTCTTATTCTTTCCTTGCAGCTGACAAGTACTGCCCACTGCTGATCAAAGAAGGTGGGATTCCCCTTCTGAAGGACATGATTAAAATGGCCTCAGCACGGCAAGAGACCAAGGAAATGGCCTGGTAGGAAACTAATGCACTGTCATCAAACATTCAGTTTAACTTCAGTTTAGTTTCCTGTTCCCCTACATCAAGGAAAGCTACCAAAGAAAAGCTTGTGCTCTTTATGAGAGGTGAAATAAACACAAGCAAAGAGCAGGAAAAGGAAGATAGAAACAGAAGATTAGAGGTGTTTATACATTTGCAATAAGCACTGGTAATCTGTGTTTATGGATACCAGGCAAATAGGTTCTCAAAGTGGCAAGAAAGCTGCTTATTGCATCTCTTAACTTGATCGTCCCCAGTCATCACTATACTTCATACTTGAGGTGTGAACTCTGTCCAGAATATCAGTCTGTCAATGATGGAGCTGACTGCAGAGTTTAAATCAAAGGATTTTCAAAATATGGAGAGAGCCCATCACTTTTGTGAGCCTTCCCAGCTTACTGTGTGACCTCCCTTTGGAGTCATTCTTTCAGTTTTAAGACAGCTGTAGTTTCTAGTCACTGACAAACTGAGATCTGTAACTTCATATCTGCAGGATGAATATTAAAGAGAAATGTAGATCAGCTGGGAATGTGTACCTTGTGGGTAGCAGGTACCCACAGCTGAAGGGCTGCTCAATGCTGGAGGTGGTACAAGCCTGCAGAAGACTGTCACAGGTTATGGAGATCACATATGGTGATGCAATAGTCCAAGAAAAATAAATGGAAAGAATAGAAAAAGCAGGGACAGGTAACAGTAGAGTGCATGGAAACCATCTGTATGTATGTGTTTTCTGATACAATTCAAAGTTATCTGATGATTGAGGCGTGGGGGTCGTGAATGAATGATCTGGAGGTATACTAATATGACTTGAAATTCCAAGAGGATGAAATTCCAAGCTCTTAAGCTGCTTGTGTGGAGTATAGTGGTTTTTATATCAATGTTGGTTGATGTATATCAGAAGAGTCTGACTGCTACCAACAGCAGTCCTTGTGTTACTGTCCCACAGCCATAACACGACAAGCATTAAACTAAACCTTCTTCCCTTGTCCTGTTTTATCCCTAGGAAAGTTATAGAGCACTGCAGTAACTTTAAGGAGGAGAACATGGACACTTCCAGATAGAGGCAATCATCTAATGCCTCTTGCCAGCACTGTATCCAGCTTCTCTCTAATTCACTGTACATAGTGAGGACTCTTTCTGACCAACTCGCCTGTTGGAAGGAAACTTTATGTGTGTGTGTGAGACCCTCAGTAGATGAAGGTGAACAGGGGAGGGAGGGAGGGACTTTTTGCACAACAAAACGCTTTCCTTAAATTAGTGGACTTTTTCGTTATGAAGTTTCAGATTGAAGTTCTGTGTGTATGATTTCTGTATAAAAAGAAAACAAAAAAAGACAATTACATTATGTATCTTTTAACCTTTTTTTTTTTTTTTAGACCATACAGAGAGCCCCAAATGATCACGAGCTTGAAAACCCAGTTGTGTGATCACTAGTGTGACATTTTCCTTCCCACTTTTTAGAAAATTCCCTTTTGCTGTATTGCATGAGGTCCTGCAATGCAAGAACACCAGTCCTGAATCAGCACTGGCCACTCAGTGGGTTTACAGGCAGAAGTGAGTTAGTTATTTGCTCTGAAGGTTGGGGGACACATTACCAAGAAGTCAGAGCAAAAGAACTGAACTTTTTGGTAATGTTTTTAAGTAGAGGAAACGGGGAAAAGTTATCTTTTAAGTCAATTCATTCTCTTAAGGGTTTTTTATGGTAGACTCCTATTAATGGAAGCACTGCTAAATATATGTGGTTCATTTGGAAGTAAGAGGTTCCTGTTAATGTCAGGAATTCTGTTTTGTCCCCTTTGGCAGTTCTGTAGGATCTGCCAGCCCACCTAGACTCATGTGGTCAGGGATGACCAGTAAAACCAGTTACACATCCTTGGCAATGCAGAGCTTTTCCCTCTAAGGGAGCCTGTGCATAAAGGAACAAGGTTTGTTCACAAAGGGCTATACATCTTCATACCAGTTTTTTCAACACCTTTTTAGTTTTGTTCTGCTTCATGGAGAAGGGCTACAGATGCCAGAAAATGGCATAATAACCCCTACCAGGCCATGGGCCACGTGTGCAAGTCCCAGTAAATGACTGAAGCTGTTCTATCCTTCTTCAGCCTGCACTCAGTAGTAAAGTAACCTCACTGCAGCACAGATGCTGTCATTTGAGGTGCTAACATCTCCTTTAAGGCTGAGGAGTCTCTAGGAACCCTTTGGAATACCATCTCCTAAAACAGCACCTCTTGTTCCATCCCAACATCTTCCCCCTCTTCTGGCACTACTCTTATCCTACTGCTAGCACTACCCAGTGCAGTCCCACTCCCATCAGCAGATTCACTCCAATTTATATGGGTTAGGGGAGAGGAGAGTCCCCACTAAGCTGGTCGCAGAATCAGAGAATGGCCAAGGTTGGAAAGGACCTCAAGGATCATGAATCTCCAACCCCCTGGTCTTCACCTGTAAAACCCCAGGCCTACAGAGTCTTAAAAAGGGCCAAAGGCTGCTTCACAGCCAGGCACTCAGCATCACGTTGTGCAGTTCATGCTCAGAGCCCCGCTTGCCACAGTGTTTTCATAATTCACAGCTCTTCCCTTAAAAGTGGTTTTGAAAAGATTTTACATCTGCAGTGAGAGGAAACCGTGGCCATGTGTGTTAGGACACGTCAGGCCTCTGGGACAGCACAGTAACCATTGCTGCTCTCTTCCCTCATTTACATTGCTTGCTGCTATGACTGAGGTTCTTCTGATGCTCAGAGTTAATGCTGTCATTACTGAGCATTACATTATGGACAGATCCTAGGGACACAAACTGACACTTTAAATGACAGAACACAGCTGCCCTGGAGGGGTTTACTTTTTTCTGCCAACACGGTGTTACCCAATGTCTTTTCTTCTCTCTTTTTAACCATGTCATGTTTTGATATTGTGAGATCTGTACTTTTTCTTTAAGTATTTTTCAAACTATATATATATTTTTGTGTCACTTTTGAATTGTTTTCATACAGTTTGAAAAACTTGACAAATTACACTTTTTTGTGGTTGTTTGATTGAAATGTATTTTTCTCTCTTTTATTCCTAAGAATTTCTGTCCCTGCAAGCTTTGAGACAGAGATGTTTGTTTCATGGCCTTTTCTGTGTAATGCTTGCTAATCATTCTCCTAGATGCAAAACTAAGAGCACTGCATATAGTGCTGACCAGCCTCCACGCATTGCAGGAGCCAGGCTTTGCTCACATTATTCTCTATGCAGTGCTATCCTTCTGAAGTTGTCTCATGTGACGGTGCCAACCCACTAGATTTTCTTCCTTTCTGATGTCCACGCAGTGAAAACTTCCACCACTAAAATCTTGAATCAAGTGACAAGAAAACTCTAATGATTCTGACAGTGTTGGCAAGGTGGGATTGGAGGAGATGGGGAAACATGGTGGATACACTGTCAGAAACCTGTATCCTCAGAACGCAGCTGCCCTGCAGGAGAGGCAGCTGGAGCACATCTCAGCCTTGCACTTTAATCAGGCTTTACTCTGAGATTTTGACAAAACTGCTTCTAGGTTAATGAACAAATGGTGGCTTGGTTCCATCAGCCTGAAGGACCCCAAAAGTTCAAAGCAGTCCCTCTGTAAGTTGAGCTGTTACTGAAGTCACGCCTGCTGCAGCTGCACTGTGGTATCACAAACTAACAAACCTTTGTTTCAAAGCAAAGACAACTTCTCACTGCTCACGTATCCTCGTGTACCTGAGTCCGAACCAGAAAAAGATTTCTGATTCCCAGGAATGTGGAGATTAATGGAGTCAGGCCAGCCTGCCAGAAAGGTTTAGCTCTGTGAATCTGCCATTTAACCATAGGGGGTGGGGGAAACTATCTCTGGTCTATCACATAAAATTACATAGAAGAGCTAGCTACATAGAATCATAGAATCCTCAGAGTTGGAAGGGGCCTTTAAAGGCCATCTAGCCCGACTCCCCTGCAATGCACACTGCAGCTGGATCTGATCAGGTTGCCCAGGGCTTGATCCAGCCTCACGTGGAAAGTCTCCAGAGATGGAGCATCAACCACAACACAACACTAGGTAACCTGTTCCAGTGCCTCGCCACCCTCACTGTAGAAGACTTTTTTCCTTATATCCAACCTAAACCTACCCTCCCTGAGCATGAAATGGCCAGTTTAGAAAAGAACTGTCCCATGTCAAACCCCATACTGCAGAGGAAGGAGGCTTCAGTTTCACACTCAAGATTATAGAAACCAATCCCATCTAAAAAACTATAACAGGGTTTCCAAATGTAAGGTGAAAATACAGCTGGAAAGAAGCTCACAGTCTGATCAAGTATGGCAGAGGGACTCCTTTTGCTTTGCAGTTGTTGTCTCATTCACACTCTCACTCATGTTTTTAGGTTCACATTTCCCTTAATACTCAAAAGCTGGGCAGGCAGAACATGAACCAACTCAGCAATTCTCTGCAGAGACTGTTCCAACAAAGGAACCCTCTACCTCCAGTGCAAGTAGTTTCCTTTCTGGCTGGAAAATGCCTCATGGCTCAGTGACCCAATGATGCAGCAGTCCTCGGGTGTCAGGTGTCTGCCATTTTCCCTGGAATAGACATGACAACAAGTTGGTGGGCAGCTTTCCACAGGTGCTTCCATTTGACAAGATCCGTGGGAGGAACTGCTTATACAGATTGGCATCTGTGTGCATGATGCTTAACGTGTAGCAGCACCAGACTTTCCCACTGAGACCATGCTGAGAAAGTTTAGCACTCATACTTGTGGCAATTATTAACAATGCAAATAATTAATCTGGCCCTTCTGCATCATAGCTGTTCTCGCCCTGCACCTCTCTGCTAGCTCAGATATTATCTGTTCAGCACTGAATCCTACCCAGCCTCCTGTTTGAGTTGCTTTGGTCTCTGCAAAAGATGAGGGGAAGAAAAGCCTTAGAGCTGTGAGCTTATTCTATTCATCACTTGAAGAAGATGATGAATTTTCGGGGCAGCAGAGGAAGGGCACTGCATTCAGGCACTACTCCACAAGAAAAGATTTCTTGAGGCTGTTTAGGAAGAAGACTGCCACAGATGGGGTGCAGGGGGTGGCATGCACTGGAAAAAAAGACAATAAAAATTAGGGGAAACAGCTGATCTCCACAACAACCATCTGTACAAAGCAAAGAGGGTAACGGTTGTCAGGGATGGATGAAAAGATGGTACTTAAGAACAGGAATTAGGGAGATTTCCTGCTTCACTGAAACATTTCTGCTCTAACAGACTATTTTGGCTTCAGATAATTGTCACTGATTCTTTCTGTAATTCCTTTTTGTCTTAAAAAACAAACAAACAAAGTTTTTTAGCTAACCAAATAGCTATTCCCACATTCTGCATACAGAAAATAATCTCAGTGATAATGAGCAAGCTTCTGCTTTTACTCCGTCCCTTGACCTGCCTGTGTTGAGAGGCCTGGTTCAAACGTTTGTTCATGGTGAAACCAAGCCCCCAAAAATCATGCACAATTGTTCCTTCCTTACAATTCTGAACGAATTAACTTTCCTGTTGTATCCATTGGGATACTCTCTGTGTATTAAACCTAGTGCTTAACAATGTCTTTTTCCTTTGGTCTATGAGTGTGAATTACACAGGTACATTATTGGTCCATTTGCTGTCATATATTTCATTAAAAACTAAAGGAACTGCCATGTGTTGATTGTGCAGTTCAGTGGCTTTTGCTTTCATCACTTTGAGGGATACAATACTGTTTGTCAATAGAAAAGAGGTATGGAGAAAGAGAGTGTTGTTATGAAATAATGTCAGAGGGGAAAAAAAAGAAGTCAGAGCAATATTTGATTGTACAGATTGCCTCTGAACTCTGTAACGGATCTGTGGCTATAGCATTCTGCAGCCTTAGCACCGCGAGTGGGCAGAAGCTGAATACTTCAAGAAAGACTCTTTTTAGTTTAAAACAGTCAGCCTGCTTTAAGGCCAGCAAGACTTCCTTCTTAAGACGCTGATCTCACAAGAGTTCAACTCCCAGTGAATCCAGCGGTCACTGTAAAACCTCTGACGGGTCAGACTGTCAGTGGCTGAAGCAAGAGAAGGAGTTATGTGAAATGGAACTACAGACAGGGAGCTGAAAAGGTACCACACTGCAGAGAACAGAGATGCCTTATGCTTCCAGCAGCACGACACTGCTTGCTGGAATGCCATAAGGATGGAGATCCTCTGCCCAGAAACCTGCTCGTGGAGGGTTTCTAACCAAGCCTGACATCAACCAGACAGCCCTTTGGGTTGGAAACCTTGGGGCAGAGATAAGCTCTCATTCAAGACAGGTTTCAAAGCTATGAAGAACAAAAAAAGCATAACATGCACCAAATTATTCTAACCACAAGAGGAGAAAGAATACATCCCTTAGGACAGATTATTCTGGAATATCAGAATGTTTTTGCTTTGAAGTGAGTAACGCTGTTACTACTCAAATTGCTCTCATTAAGCTTTAAAGTTCACACTGCTCCACAAAGAAAGGAAAAACACTTCCCACCTTTTTTTTCCTGGTTGCAGACAGAGGCTGATGTTACTGTTCTCAGCTCCCCACTGTTCTGAAAGGTTTTCTTTGAATAGAGAGATTTTCAGGATATTTAAAGCATGCAGACAGTAGCAAGGCCACCTCCAAACTGTTTTGACAAGTGCTGATCTCATCTAGGAGGTTTCTGAACTACCTAGAATAATTAAAAAGAAACAATCAAGAAAAAAAAAAAAGATTTGAATGACCATTATAAAGGCAAATTCAGGCCATTCTCACAGAACCATACCTATGGAAGATACCTCTAAGACCATCTTGTCCAACCATCAACCCATCACCACCCTAGCTGGTGAACCATGTTCCTATGTTTATTAACATTGCAATGCAGCTGTCTTAAATAAGTAATTTGTGTCACCTGTGCAACCAGGTGCTTCCCTGGAAGCAGCAAGTGGCCTCTGACATTTAAAACAGACAGAAATAATCAAAGTTAAGGGTCAAACAGCACCAAGGAGTGAGCTGCTTTCCAGGGGCAGGAGGATACAATTGCAAAGAATGAGATTCCTCTTTAGAGTGTACTGGGAAGGTAACAAAAGCAGCAGATAAAGAACAACAAAAAACATTTCAGATTTTCTGCAGGCTTTTGGTGAGCTCCGTCCCCTCAGAACAGACGCAGAGGGCGCATCTAAACAAGCTGAGGACCGCAGAGACCAAAGCATCGAACGCAGGGTGCAATTTGGGGCTGCAGATGGCTGCGCTCGGATGAGGACTGTTCTGTATTTCCTTCCAGAGCTGCCAGGAGAGCCCAGGACCTCAGACACAAATGTCTGCACTTCAGATGTGTGAGCTGAGATCGGTTCCCTGCCAGCCCCTACCAAAGCTCTGCCGTGCTAAAAGAGCTCTGCTAATCGAGCTCTGCTAATCGAGCTGCCTGCCTGCGTTCTGCTATACACGTTTCTGATAAAATAAATCTGCCAGACCAGAGCAGCGTCTCACACAGAGCCCTCCAACGCACACCTGGACGGGCCCCAAGCACCGCCGTGTACGTTTAGCAGCCAGTCCTCGGCTCTAACAACCCCGTTTCACCGCAGGGCCGCAGTACCCGGGGAAACAGGGCCGAGGGCCCCGCGTAGGGCAGCATGGCGCGAAGGGGTACGGGCTGCGCCTGAGGGCTAAGGGAGGAACGGGGAGGGCAGCGCTGAGGGGAGGGCCGAGGCGGGCCGGCCGCACCCCGCCTTGCAGCGCTACTCCTTCCGGGCCTGCGGCGCCATGGGAGCCGGCGGGCTGTGGGTGAGGACCGCCCACACCGCCCTCAGCGGGGTCTTAACGCTGGGGCTCTTCCTGCACCGCACAGGTGAGGCGGAGCCGTCGCAGCGCGCGGCCGGGAATGGAGGGAGGGGGGTCGCGGGGTCGGCGGTGCTGCATCACGGCCTGCCCGGCCCCGGGGCTGCGGGGTGGCACCGGGGGGTCGGGCGGCTTTGGGGGCTCGGAAGGCGTTGCGCGGCGGGAGGAGGGATGCGCTCGTGGAGTGAGAAAAGCCCCGAGAGCCGTGCTAGGAACCGCCGCATTCTCTTGTATGGGATTGTCTTTCAGATCTGCAGAAGGAAGCGGAGCGAGGAGCCGTGCTGCAGCCCGCGCTCTTCGTAGCGCTGCTCGGGTGCTCCGTCCTGCTGTACTTCAGGGTGTCCCTCATGGACCCGGGCTTCGTCAGGGCTGACGAGGAAGCAGAGGTACATCGCTGTGTGAATGGAAGATGCGCTGGGGCTGCGCGGTCCGTGGGCTTTTTGCTACGTAACAACTTGGAATGGTTTCTCTTGCGCTTGGCACAAGGAAAACGTGTGCAGCCCGTTGGGTGATGAGGGCTGCGAGGCTTTGGCTCGTGTTCTGTGACAGGAGGGGTTTGCAGCCTCTACGTGCTTCTGTTACCCCACGTCTCCCTTAGCCAGTCGTCCTGTGCTGTCCTCTTTTCTCAGAGGCAGCTTCGCCCTATGGAATGTTTACATCTCGTATTTTATGCGAGTCGCTGCTCACTGGTGTGAGTATGGAGAACCTGGACTCTGCTTTGTTCACTGCTTTGCTGGTTGCATGGGACAAAAGATCACACAAGGCATGGCCAGTTTTAATCTTCCGCTGTTAGCGTTGACCTTGGCTGTGTTATGAGCAAACAGCGCTCTTTATACTGAAAAGACCCCACGATTGTGTTTGGAAGTGAAGTCTAACCTTGTTTATGTCCTGAACTGTACTTGGGATCTCTGTGGTGTCTTGTCCACGATTATTTCCATCTCTCTACAAACATTCTTTTGATGGTTACAGTAGCCTTTGTCTCTGCACGTACCCTAAGTATCTGCAGTGGAATTTCATGCCACAGTATTTGTGTAGCAGCTTCTGTACTTTGCTGGGAATTATTTTAACTTTCCTAATGACAGAGATGACCAGCACTACGTAACTGTCAAATAAAAGGATCCAGATAGCTCAGTCTTGCCAAGCAGGCTGATAGCTGCCATTCTTCAGACAGCAGCACGTAATACATCTTTCATCGCTCCATTTATTTATTTATAGGCAGACAAAAATGAAGAGCAATGCGTGGTGATACCCCAGGTCTCAAGCAATGTTAAGATGCGGCGTTGCGGCTACTGCATGGTGAAGGTAGGCAGCAATAGTGTGCTAATAGAGAATGCTCAGCCCTTGCTGCTTTGGTTTGGAGTGGTTTGGAGGCATGGCAGAGCTGACCGATGAATTCTGGCGCAGGGTCATCCTGCTGCTGAAAAACCCACTGAGGAAGCAAATACAGCTTGCTAACAGACCTCAGGTGCATCCTCAATGGAAGAGTGATCCTACTGGACTGTGTAGCTACAGGTGTAATGATAAACAGTGGCATGGCTGCTAATTTTCCAACATTGAAACAAGTCCCTGCTGAGTCATACCAACATGGATCTTCTTTTGATGTATTCCACCATGGGAAAACTTTGTTCAACATTCTTACTGCCACATTGACCAGACCTCACAGCATTGCCAGAAAGGTTATTTTGAAAGTACCTTGATAGGAAATCAGGAAGTCCGTTAGGTATGACCTGCAGAACTGCTGGGAGCTGTAAGCTTGTTTAGGGATCTAAAAGCAAAAAACATTAGAGTGAATTGTAAAAGATTGCATGAAGGAAAAATTGGAGCAATTAAATTAGCTCTTGAAACAGTTTGCCTGAAGCCTAGAAATGCCTGTTGGTACAGATCCTTATCAGTGTAATAAAATCCAGCATTATCCCAGCTCCCGTAAATTCCTGAAGAATATCTAGCAAGAGAAATCAGCTTATTGCAGGAGGATATTGTAGCAAAACACATACACATTTCAAGGAGCAAATCCTAGGAAGCACAATCATGCTACTTTCCTCAGCTGTATATTGCATCCTATCTGTTCTTGGTGCTTGAGCTGTGCAAGTCTCTTATATTTCCACAGAACAGGAGAATCGGTCCCTCTGCAATCCCCTGAAGACATCTCACCCCTGCACACTTCCTTCAGCAGCAGAGGTCCTAGTTCTTCCCTTCAACACATTGCTCCCTCTTTCCTGAACAGACTGATTTACTTAATATCCCTCCTTTGCACGCTCAACTTCCTATACAGAGGTAGATAACAAAAAACATAGATAGTGTGGAAGAGTCATTTAGTTTGGATCTCACTCGCTGGGATCTGTGCTAAGGGAATCTCAGTCCCCTTCATTTGTCTCAGCCGTGCTGATGTTGTTCTGTTATCTCAGCATGGAGTGCTTTTGGGAAGTGGATGTTTTTGCATAATGCTTTTACCAAGCAGAAAGTTGAACAAGACTGGGTTATTGTTACTGTTTTGTTTTTGCTTTGCAGCAACCAATGCGAGCCAAGCACTGCCAGCTGTGCCAGCACTGCGTTCGGCGCTATGACCATCACTGCCCCTGGATTGAGAATTGTGTGGGAGAGAAGAATCACCCCCTCTTCATAGTCTACCTTAGTGTACAGCTTGTAGTTCTGCTGTGGGGAGGACACGTTGCTTGGTAAGGCCTGGAAGGCAGCACTTTGACCACTGAACCTAGGAGTCTTGGTGCTGCTGGAGATCCCCCTTAAGGGGCTTGTGCAGAACGTAGCACTGACTGGATCGGCTTCATGTCTTCACCCTGATTTGCATCCTGAAGATCAGCCTTTCTGAGCCTTCTGGTCTGCTGAGGAACAACACAGCTGATCAGTAGCTGAGCAGGATCTAACATTTTAGGTTTCGCTGCTCATCTTTGTTTAGAGGTTAAACGAATAGAATTAACAGAAGTAGAGGAGCAGCTAATTTTGCTTCAGTTATTGTAATACAGTATTCATGAGATTTTTGGGAACTCCATCTGAGTTTCAGCCATGGAGCTGTACAGGAGAGGAGTCAGCTGAAGATGACTGCATCCTTTCAGCTGTCAGGTGAACCCAGTGTCTTTTAAAGTTCTTAGAACCTAAGGCACTGCTGTTGCAATTTGTCAAGAACTTACTTACAATGTATAAAATTACCTGCAGTACATGATGATCAGAATCTCACTCACCAGTTATGAGTCAAACTAAATGTGCCACTTGGTTTATATAACTAGTTCTCCATGTTTAACCTTGACTTTATTTCTCTTTAAAAGGTCAGGCCTTTACTTTAAACAGTCCTGGGAGTGGCTGCGGCACAACATATTCCTCCTCCTGTCCTTCCTCCTGATAGTCATATTCACCATTGTTGTCTTGCTGCTGCTGATTTCACACCTCTACCTGATCTCATGCAACACCACCACCTGGGAGTTCATGTCGTACCACCGCATCTCCTACCTGCGGCACTCTGAGCTGCAGAATCCCTTTGACCAAGGAGTAATCCGCAATCTCTGGAGGTTCTTCTGTTCGTGCCATCTCACTGCATGGGAGAAAATCTATTTTCACAGGAGCAATGAACCTGTCTAGTCACAGTGGTAGCTAATGAGTAAAATGCCAAAAGACAGCTGCAGGTTGTTGGATAAAGCTTTGCATACCTTGCTTAGAACTTTAATACATTGTGGACTATGCAAAATGTTCCGCAACCTGTCCATCCATAAAAGCAAATCATCTTCCAAGAAGGATAATCAGGGCTATAGGTATGAATAACACTGTTAAAGGGGAGACACTGTTTCTGAGGGCGTCAGAAGTTCTGATGTCTTGACCAAGGAGAGGTATCTCTTTAAATCCCCTTCCTTGTGTTAACCTGCATCCACACCTGAAGAGATGCAAGAACTGCATAAACAGCCTTGTCAACTTCTGCTCCCCCAAGTTTCCTCTCCATTTGCTGCTAAGGAACAGCAGCTGTTACCAACAAACCAGGCAGAATCAATGCAATCCCTGTGGCCTTTCTTCAGCATAGCTCTTACTGTGAAAACCACAGTGCCTTTTGTCAGTAATGTTGGATACATAAGAGAAATATTTGAATAAATATTTGTGCAGTCAAAAGCAAATTTCATTTTGACTGCATGCCTCAACTGCACGCTTGGAGGTTTCATAGCATTAATGTCCATGAAAGACAGCTGTAAGGCACCAAATTCAGCCAAGATCATTAAGCCTGTACCTTATGATGCCCTCATCAGCATCCTAACAGGTTTTTTTTTTATCCTTTAAGTTGATGGAGGTCAAAAATTCATAGGATATTTTGAATGAACTCTGCAAAGAATAATGTCAGCCACTTTGGACAGAAGAGCAATGCTTGTCTATAGAGTTACTTCTGCAGATAACCTCATGCCCTTTGCCTTTACTGTATCTAGTGGGGAAAGAGCCAGTAACAGAGGTGAGCACTTCTTGCCTACCTCAAATAACACTAGTGGTAATGCTGCCACCTCAGCATGTCAGTATAATTTTAATGAAATAATACAAAGTAGCACTGCAATGGAATCTTGCAAAGGAAAGGTTCTAGGTCCTATTTGTTTCCGATAGCATTCCAGGATGGGAGCAGCTTTACTTGTTTTTCATTGTAATAGAAGGTCATAGTTCAAGTTTCTGTAAGGGACTGGAAGTTAGGATCAACAATTTAAAGTAGAAAAACCTGTGGTGTGAATTTTAGTGCTGACCTTTTTCTACTTTAAAAACAAAAAAAGCAAACCACATCCAACAACTTAGTTATTGTGCCTTAATTGCTTTGATTCAGAAATTAACAGCAGCTCAGGAATACATCAGGCAAGCTGGCATAATGCACTCAGGGCTCATGAGCACTCAGGAAAGAACAGTATAGAGTCATAGAGTCACTAATACAACGTGATGGTCCAAAAGCAGACTGAAAATGCAGACTTCTTTTTAACCAAACCCAGAGTCTGTAACCTGCATCCAGAGCAGTGTGTTCAGAGAGGGTCATAAAGTTCAAGGCACAGCGTTGTGCTCTTTGGTAGTTCTCCTGTATGTGCACTGGAATGGTAGTTCATGGTACTTTTACTATAAAAGTATTAAACAATTACTTACACCTTGTTTGTTTGTTTTTGCCTCTCTTTCTGAAACTCAACTTCTAGGTTTCACCTGAACTAACAGCCCACTGGGCTTAACATTCTGAAGAAGTCCTCACCTGGAAAAAAGGGAAAATCACAAAACAACTGCAAGGCCATAAGCAAGCCAACCATTACATTCAACTGGTAGAGGAAGATGTGTATCCTCCTTTAATTGTGCAGAGCAGAAGGTTGAAAGTGTGTTTATATGCTGGAAGTTTCAGCAGCAGTTATACTTGGCTCTGAAAATAGGAAAACAAGGCTCAGTGAATTACGTGTTTTGCACAAACATATGCTCTTACTAAAGCTCTTAAATGTCTCTGAATTCTGAAGCACTTAACCCAGGCAACTCACAAGCTGCTTCTTATCTCCAAAAATAGCACAATTGTGTTAGTTCAACTTCTGTCTTCCTCTGCTGAAGAAAACTGACAGAATAAGAGCTTTGTGTCCCTATTTGTCTTAAGTGGAATGCTTCATTTCTATACATGCTTTCCTTTTTTAGCCAGCAAGCTAACATTATGAATTAAAGAAAAGAAAATGAATCTAACCAAGTTTAATTACAAAGTATGTTGCTAGGCAAATTAGATCAGCTTAAACATCCTGATTTTCCAGCACTAACACTGTCAATATTTAACTATTCCAAAAAAGATACAGGATATACACATTGATGAACTACTGCAGAGACACAACTTGACTGCAATCATTTGGATGTGGCAGCTGAGCTTACCATGCAATACGTACACAGACAACTTGGGATGGAAGGAAGGAAGAAAAATACTACCATGACATTTACAGAGAAAAATAAAATCCTGTCTATTGAGTTCAGTATGGGTAGCAGTGATCTGAAACATTCACCTAACACCAAGGAGATGAAAAGCTGAGACTTCATTATAAGGAATAGTATCTTTATTTAAAAAAAAAAAAAGAAAAGAAAAGAAAGCATGTGCAAAATGGTGGCTTCTTTATGTTATTAAAATCCATATCTATGATTTCACATCCTGAAAGAAGCATAAAGAGTTTTGTTTTGTTTTTACTTAAGATACATCACTGGGATAATTACCAAACTCAAACATCATTACCTCAGTTGTGTTAAAATCCATTCCTTCTCTGCCATACACATGAGTGGCAACAGGAATAAAATCATTACAAAGGAGCACTGCATATCTCTTCTAGAAAACAGGAGAGAAGTGCCCATTCTCCCTGCTATTATGTAACCCAAAAGAGCTTCATTCCTTTGGCTTTTTCTAAGAGCAACCTGGGAGGCAGAGAGGACACATTAAATCATTAAATTAAGTTCAGATTAAATTCCAAATCACTATATATACATATTCAGTGGCAGCAGAAGACACATCCAGTCAAAAGTGAACTTCTCAAAGGTAACTCACACCCAGTACTCCTCCAGCAAGCGAGGCTGAAAAAAGCACAGCAGAGTAACAGCTTGCAGAGCACTTCACCACTACCCCTTCTGTGAAGTTTGTTGACTTTGCCATTGCCCATGCCAAGTCCTCTCTACGCCCTCTCAAGATGGTAACAATTTATTTGTTCATGCTTCTTAAGCACAGGAATCAAGCATACAAAAGGTGTTTGGAGACAAAGTCAAAGTCCTTGAAGACAGCCTGCTCCTTACGGGTTAGGAGAGCAACCTCCTCTGGAGGAGTCAGAATTGGCTTCTGTAATGTAAACTCTTCATCAAAGTTGCTAATGTCTGTTGGATCTTTTAGGGTGGGCACAAAAGGGGGCTTCAGAGTCCTGGCATACAAAGCATCCCAATCCATTTCCTGTAAGAGAAGGAAGTGAACAGGCCAGGCTGACATTATTTATGAAACGTGAAGTTAAAATGAAGGGAAAAAACATGGCAAAGCAAACAATATGGTTGGTGCAGGGCAGGTAGTACAGAGATTCAACAGGAGGAATGCTAACACCTTTGCCCAGAGCAAACATATGCCACTGACCAAATGTGTCTTTAACCCCAACTTCTCTTAGGATTCTTGTATATTCTGCAAATGTAGGGGCCACCAACTAGACTGGATGGCAATATCTGTCATCACTAGACCACATCTTTGTCTGCTGCAGTTTGATTTATAACAGTATTTGGTGATAGCTTAAAAGAAATGTATATTCATACATAGAAGCAGCACAATCTGGAATAACAAGCTGGTCCTGGAAGCTTACAGAGCCCAGAAAACACACTTAGGGGTACCATTGCCAACATGAATTGAAACACTAATGCCTGAATAGGGCAAGGAGATGCAACAGAAGCTGCCACTAAGATCTCACTGATAAATAATGGAAATTTGCCTCCGTACCAGCAGAAAGCAAACCACTCTCATCTCAAATACAAGCACTAAGGAGGAGGAATAAAGTGAATTCCTACCTTAAAAAAGGGCTGGATTTTAATCTCTTCTGCATCTTTTTCCCCTGCTCCCAGTCTACGCTCTGGACACTTTCGAAGAAGCTGCAGGAAAGATCAGTTCAGAATTAAATAACTGGAACAAAGATGGACAAAACAAACATTCCGAAGATTAAAAGCTGAAAGAGATGAACCAGCTCCTCCGTATTTTCTCATTCACTTTCTCTGCAGCAAAGTCAAACTGCTAGTAATAGCTCAGACATAGCTCCTTGTGAACAACTTGTCAGTGACATGCGCAGTACAAACCGGGTGTAGAATCTCATCTTAGCTGTGCACCTGTAACTACCAGCTTACATTCAAAAAATCAAATCAAGCCACTTTCAGCGAATGACTCAAACGCTTCTGTCTTTGAATCTACACTTCACTATTTCAGAGTTTGCAGCAACAGACCTCAGTGAGAAGCTGCCTTATTTGTTCTCAAGCTGAAGAACAGCATTTATGTAAAGAGAAGGAAAAGTATACATAAATTTTAAGTGTTTCTTTAATCCCTGTAATTTTACTTATGGTAAAATACAAATTCCTCAGGCACCCAGAGACCCCTCAAACCCATTACCTTACGGATTATAGAAAGTGCCTCTGATGAAAGGAATCGTGGATACTGGACTTCATCATTTACAATGCTATCAAAGACTTCTTCCTCATCATCTCCAGGAAATGGTGACTGCAATTGTGACAGTTTTTAATTTAACATACATGGCATCCATTCCTTGCTAATATACAGGAACGAGAATAGCGAGGAGTTGCAGAGATCAATTATTCTTTGGCAAGCACAGAAAAATTATCTAAATACCACAGTATTATTAATAACTAATAAATAGTTGGCTACTTTCATCAAAATTTTATCTCAGGTGATCAGATACTGCTCTGCCCAACACTGCGTGATGAGATTCTCTAAGAGATACGCGGTCTTACCTCACCAACAAGCATCTCATAAATGAGCACACCCAGTCCCCACCAGTCCACTGCCCGAGTGTATGAGATGTCTGTGAGGACTTCTGGAGCCAGAAATTCAGGAGTACCACAGAAGGTGTTTGTGCGGTCTCCAAAACCTATTCCTGCAGGACAAGAACACCCTTGTCAGATCCAGCACATGCTTCTAAATAGATCTCATGCAGTCTCATCTTTTGAAAGCAATAGATTTCCTCTTGATGATTTGCTGTTGTTAACCATGCAAGGGCTCTCATCAGTGCTTGCAAATACTAATGAGAATGTATGATACCTGAGATCCCCAACAACTCTGAATAGCAATTCAGACAATGCTTAAATAAGCAACTCAATCAAGAAAACCTGCAGATTCCATTGTTCATTTACTTAAGTACATATCCTGTAGCATCCTATATCCTTGCTTCTTTCAGCAGAGAAGGACACTCTAAACTGCTTCACAAGACACCTGAAGAGCAAAGGGCACTCTTTCCAAGTTCATCATGGGCAGACAGGTAACATTTGTTTATTTTTAAGTGGAGATGAATACATGTTTATTTTAAGTGGAGATGAAGTTACATACAGCCACCTGGCACTCACATTTGTGAACACCTTACCAAAGCCCAGACCCTAAACTTTGTTCTGATGCTTAAATATTGACTCACCTTCCTTACACAGTCCAAAATCTGCAATCTTCACAAATCCTTCAGCATCTAAAAGCAGATTATCCAATTTCAGGTCCCTGTAAGCAAAGAAGGGGGTGAAGAAAATGGTGGATGAAATCTGAGGACTGCCATCCAACAGACTCTTTTGCATGAGGCAGAAACCAGATGTTCATAAAAAGAGTAAGTATCTACAACTACTCTACGTTCAGTTCATACCACATATTATTTGGAAGATTCCCCTCAACTTACTGATGCTTTCCTCTTAATGAAAGCCTCACAAAGCAGCTTAGAGATGGGAAAAATAAAGACAAAGACTACAGAGATGTAGCTACAGGAAAAAATAAACTTTCAAGTTGCTAAACTGTCTTATATTTGATTTTTCACTGCATTACCTATAAACAATTTTCTTCTCATGCAGAAATTGGAGTCCCAAGACTACGCAGGCTGTGTAAAACCTAGCAAAGAGGAACAGTTATCAGGAAAAATATATGAGAACCAAGTTAAACACTTATAATGCCTGGAAACCAGGCTAATTGTAACTCACTGTGCTGTATGCTCTGCAAAAACATCTTCGTGTATGCGCATCATAAGATCACCTCCTGGAGTGTATTCCATCACAAAACAAGCATGATGAGGTGTTTGGAAACATGCAAACATGTTCACAAGGAATGGATGATCAGAAGAATTGACCACCTCAAATATTCGCTTCTCACAGTTCAAGCTGCCAGGATTCAAAGAATTAAAATGTCAGTGTTAAAATTTGGCAGAAAAACCTGTTTCAAGAAAGACAGAATGAAGATGAAAATCTTTACCTCTTATGATATGGAAATAAAAAGCGTGGTTATTACAATATTTGTCTTATATGCTTCCAAGCCTTGAATTTTAGATTGCTCTTCAGGTGTGTATGATTGCACCAGAAGCTAGAAAGTAGAGCTGTTGTAAGTTCCTTTATTTCTGATTTTAGATACCCCAGCCTTAAGGTCATCCAAAACATTAATAGAACTAAGACTAGTATACGTCATACCTACAGATTACAGATGTGATAATGTATCATTGGCAATTGTACCATAAAGCTCACCTATCAATTTCATCTCTCCTAATGATATCTTTTTTCTTCAAGGCTTTGATAGCATACAGCTTCCCAGTTGCTTTGTATTGGGCCAACAGTACCTGAAAGACAACAAAAATGCTGTACTCCAAACAAATTGTCATTTCTTTGTCGGATTACTTTGACTCCCACTGACAGAACCTATTTCCATCCACTTCAAACAGCCATTCTTAAAACAGGCTCAAGCGGTTCCAAAAATGGAGCTCTTTTTCCCTACTCCTGGAGCTGCTGCAGTCCAGAAAGACATCACTGTGAGTTATGGTCTTTTCAGAAACAGCAGGATTGCAGCTGGTCCTGTGTTTTAAAAGCACCTCAATACTCTTACAGCAAGGACCTGCACACACTTTGTGGGAATCACACTATTCCACCAATGATCACAGTGATAATGGAAAGAGTGGTAACACTGTGCTCCATTAGATAGTTTGGCACTCCCTGGAGGGTTTCCTCCATGTTTTGAAGCCACAAATCTTCAGGACTTTTGGCTGTTATCAAGGGTACCAGCTGTTTGTGGTTTTGCTTTGTACATCTGCAGTGCAACAAATCTCTGCAACATTTCTATTCAGACTCTGAGGCAGAGGCCCACCTTCACAACAGCAGCCCTACAGCCCTTCATAAAGAAAGCACTTCTACACTACCTTCCCAAAATGGCCACGTCCCAGCATGGCGATGCAGTGAAAATCCTCAAGATGAACAGCCCCTTTCCTGAAGACAAACAAACAAGATTTGCTGAGACAATAAACAAAAGATGCAGAAACAGAATGCAAATGAGTGTGCATTTGTGTTAGAGGAAGAAGCTCAGTACAGCAAAAGGCAAGGTGAACACCTGCCACCTCGGCTGAAATCCTGAGAAGTTAGGCCACTGAAGGGTACTTCTCATAACAAGATGAGTTCTCCCACATCCCCCATCCTTGGGAGAGTAAAATTCAGATTTGCCAACACTCCTTTCAGCAGGCTCATCAGTGACTGTGACAACCAGCCATGAACATGTGTGTCAAGTGCCAGGAGGACAAGGGAATAAGAAGAGAAGTTCTCAAACAGGAATTGGAAATGAAACAAAGGGAGACAACAGACATAAGATGTTGCTAGGGAAATAAAAAAAGAGATTCTATAGAACATTACATCAGCTACAAGGTGTTACCAAGGAAACTCAGACCACAGAATTGCTTGGAAATAATTTAAAAAACAAAACACCCACCCTCAAAAGCTTTACACCAGGATCACCTTTAAAAGGTAGCAGATGCTCTATACTCTTCCTGAGAGGGAAATGAAGGAAACGAGAGTTTCCAGAGAGTTCAGAAACGAGTGTTTCTGAAATACATTTCTAACAATTCTACTTTGGTGTGTCTAAATGCACTATACTGTAAAATTTTAACACAAGGAAGCACTGGAAGACAGTTAAGTGACTTTTGTTCCTACTAACATCGGTTATTACGCTGTAAAGTCTATTAATAGGCCAAGTAATGGGATTTAATGAGCAAGCATGGGCTAGCAGACGCATGGAGAAGTTCAGAGCAGACTTTTCATGGTATTGCCCACAAACAGCACTGAGAATCTGCTGCTGAGAAACCAAAGCATATCTTCAGTAGAATTTTTGTACTCTATGCTCAGAAATTTCAGCCCAGTGCTTCTTTAATCTGTGACCCAAGACATCTCATGCTGCCCACTGTTACCTTGGAGATGCCTGGATTGCAAATTCTGTTAAAGCAGAGCTGCAAGTCTTCTCTTCTACATGCAGCCTCTTCAGACACTAGGAACAGAGAGAAAGTTGCAGAATGTAATTCTCTGGAATCACCAAATCAGGTGTAGACACCCTGATCCAAATTTCCTCTGGTGTAACAATACGACATGACAAGTATTTGAAGTTGGTCATCGCTTCTGCTTGGAGGAAAGCAGCATCAACAACCAAGGTTGTCTGTGGTTACACAAAACTGCTATCATGTATGCTTTAAAAAGCCTAGGAAAAAATATTTTCTTTATAGAAAAAAAAAAAAGACATTTCAAGTGTCTAAAAGAACCACAGTGATTAGAGAATGCAGACTCCTCTATTTTCAAAGCCAAAGAAGAAATGGATTAGACATGGTTGAACACAAGTCGTTACGCATTATATCACTCAGAGCAATTTTCCTGTTCCTGTTTCTCAGTAAATGAGAGCTTTTCCCTCTTTTTGCCCAATTTCTTTAACATTTTCATCTGGTCCTAAAAGCCTGTTGAACCCTATTTTTCATTCATAGGTATCTATTGGGTACTTCTGCCCTGAATTGCCAGTGCGGACCTAGCTTCATTTTCAAGAAAAGCAGTATGTAACTAAAGAAGAGCTGCAAGACTTTCGTGAAGACTCCATGCCAGAATAACTTACTGGGCTCTGAAACCTTGGAGACCAATCAGCTCAGCTGATGAGGAGGCAACTGTCAAAAGTACAGGTAATTTCTCCAGTAATAAATTAGAACTGGGCCTTGAAAGAATATGAACCAACAAATAAAAGTCTCCCTATTGGCACAGATTACCGGAGAATCTGCAGGAGATGGTGTTGGTTCTTTGGACTTGGCCATCAGAAAGAGACGTGGAGGCTTGGGTGGTGCTTCATCATCATATGTAAGTTTTGCCACAGGAAAGTCACTGAGTTTGTAAGAAAAAAAAAAGAAGAGATTGCCTTAGAACAGGGCATTATATGGAAACACAAATATATAACCTTTAACATGTAAGCAAAGTGTATATCAGGCCAATTCAGTGGACAAGAGGACGATTTGATTCACACCACAAGTGTGTGAAACATCAACAAGAAATATGCTCTTCTACATAAAGGAAAACTATCTATTAAGTTGTTGATGATTAGACTCATGTTACTTGTGAAAATCTGCTTTCTTGTTTTCTGCATCATAGTGCTTAGTTATGGCCACTTCTATACCCACAGTTCTCACTGCAGAGGAAAACAAAGTTGCTGAAATTCCCCCTGCTCTGGAGCGCGCTGCTTATTGGGACGGTGATTTTGGAAATTGGTTCAGCTGCCAATAATAAATCAGAAGGAACCACAGAGCGCTGAGCAGCCCACCAAGCCCACTTCATTTCAGGCAGCATCAGCTTTTCTTAAAATCCTGAATTAAGTTCTACAGATACAACTTTCATATTCATATATTTTTTCACCTCAGTAAGGTGCAATAAAATTTTAAGGTGTATTCTATGCGCATTCCAGACTGTCATACAGCAATACTCAGAACATGACTTACCTACTCAGCTTGGTTATTGAGTTAACATGATTCTGCAGAGGAACTGGAGAGAAATCTGCATTCATGGAATCATGAAGTGGGGGACTCAGAGTGCTAATGGAACTACATGGAGGGAGGAAGCTCATCATCAGGCGACCCCAAGCAGCAACACTGATGTTCATTTGAGGAGCTCGGAGAAATTCTTTCCCTGAAGGTATCATGGTTAAAACATTGCTGAGATTACAATGTACAGATTGCAGTCTGATGAACTGTTAGATTACCATTATCACCCCAACACCCGTGGGCTTACCAAGAAAATGGAAATGCACTCTGCAGAGAATGAACTTTCTTTTAGGGAATGAAGCCTAATCATGATGATGAAATAGATCCATATAACATCATAACAACCCTCAAACAGAAGCTTCATAAAATATATTTTTTTTATTATTTTATTTTAAGCCAAGTTTTCTTCTATTTGTACACTGTATTTTAATCACTCAGCCTGTTAACAGAAAGCTTCTGAAAATATCTCAGAAACAGTATAAAGCTTTTGGGACCCTTTTATTATTTTTACCACCTCCATAAATATAAAATCAAGTTTATCCCCACTGCCAAGAATCCTCTGTATGTAAAATCTTACCTTACTCAGCTTCATGGAAAAAAAAAAAAGTTGCAGACTAAAAAGAAAGTATGTGAGTTACTCCAGTCCCTAGTCTGACATGCCAGTTCCAAAGCCTTGACAATCAGTAGCCTGTTCATGTTACAGTCTTCTACGATTTAGATCTTTCCAGGAAGTTTTCCAATACCTGTCCTTTTCTCAGTAACAACATTGCTGGGCAAATTAATACAGCTCAAGTGCTAGATCTTGCTAGGAAGTCTGTTAAATAGTAGTAATTGTATCTTCCTAACACTGGTAACTGTGAATAGAAACAGTGCAAAAATATCACATCATACACTATGCTGCAACCAGACAGCTTGAGTTTTTTTGTGACTGAAATTATTGCATAATAATGAAATCCACCTACTCACACACAGTAATTAGCAAGCATTTTAACGTGTCTCACAAAGTTAATGAGGTAGGAGCACATGGCAGATTACTTGTGCAAACTCCTGCCCTCCCCCACACACCCCAGATAATCGGTTCCCTTTCAGTTCTAGAGGAGCTCACCTTTCTGTTTGGGGAAAATACGTTTCTGTCGCTGCAGCTTTGGCTTCCTCTCAATGACAGGATTACAGAACATCACCTGTCAGAGAGGCAAAGGGGATTTTTCAAAACAGTGCATTTACACTGTGAATGCAAACTTGCACACACGCTCTCTCATCAAATTCTCCATTCATATATATTTTGGTAAGCTAGGAATCACTCCCACAGATTCCAGATCATGTTATTCTAGCTTCACTGTCTAAACATCTGTTATTTCAACTGTGGTTGGAATTTTCTGTGTCTTGGAATGAAGAAAACCCAAAAAATTGAGACCAATTCATATCCTAAATAAAATTAATCTAACTCAAAACTATACATTAAAAGCTGCTTTATAATTTGGCCATTTGTCAGGTGAGAAAAAAAAAAAGCAGCAACCCATGGCACAAAAATTATATTAAAAAAAAAAAAAAAGTCAGCCACTAAACACAAAGGACAGGAGGTAAATTTTGGTCCATAAGGTCAAGATCCTGCTTGTGGAAAGTTAAGCATGGAATCTTTCATCACAACACAAACAAAAAAGCACTGTAGCACGTAAAGGATTATCTGGATGATCTCTTCACGGATAGCATTTAACTTTTATTACTAACTTCAGAAAGATGGTAAAATAAGTATACCCAGAGGGAATATTGAACTCTGATTCTATAGCCTGTGTAATTCAAACCTGACCATTAAGCCCTACGTCTAACTAAAGTGTCACCAATGACTCATAATGAAAGCAAATACAAAAACAATGGTTTTCACAGTGCACACACGTAAGCCCAGAGGAGTAGCTGAAGTGTCACTTCAGGGTATGCCTTATAATATCATGTTGCTCCTTATTCGTATGTGTGATATTGATGGAGAAGTATTTCAGGTGTCACTCTACCCTTCTAGATTATTACTCCTTCTGTTCCTTGTATACTGGGTTGAACAGCTGCTCTCAGGACAGGCACCCTGAACTGACAGATTTCTCTGAAAAAGAAACAAAAAGTTGACATTTCTACCTCTGCGAAAAGCATTCCTTGGGGCTCAAGCAAGAGGCACATCCCATGGCGTTCATTATCAAGGAAATCATCCAAACGCAAGAACTTCACTGCACACAGTTCTCTCCAGTCTCTCCAGTAAATTGAAATTTCGAGTTCACGAGACTAGAGGGAAGGGGAGATGGGTGGTGGAGACAAAACAGCAGAAGAGTTACGTGCTGCCCCACGGTCCGGATGAGCCACACACATGCTGCTGTTAAATTTGGTTAACTAGACAGTGTGCATAAGAAACTTGTTCATCCTTCTGCTCCCCCTCTGCCTCAGAGATTTTCAGATCTTCCCAGCTACAAAACCTTTTGGAGATAGCTGCTTTTGCTCCACATTTCAGGAATCTTTCTTAGAGTCAATTTGCTACTAAGATAAAATAAAACTGCTTAGATACAGAACAAAGGACAACAGATGTTGCTCAGGCTGAATTTCTGCCAGAGATGCACTGCCTTAAGGGGAAGACTAAGATAACTGGTACATAAAAGGACATGGAGACAGTGCCAATCAAATGGAATTGCAACTAAACAAGCAAATTGAGTAAGGTGAAATGGAAAAACAAACACAACTCAGGAAAACTTAAGCCATCTTACCCTATCTAGCTCAATGACAAAGCTCTGGTCCCATGCCTGGTTGTTTACTGGCCCCCAGTTTGTTTGGCCTACAACTTTATTGTCCACTTTGAGCACAGCAAGGACTTCACCTGGACAAAGGAGAAAATGTGGATTACAGTCTTTTACACTGCTATAGAACTAAAGATAAATCTCTCATGCTGAAGGTGACTATCCCAACCAAATATAATTTCCTGGAGATAGCCTGGACGATTAGATATAGTTTTGCAGCCTTGTACTAGGATAATGCAGTACTCAGAAGAGAAGCCCCTTGCCCCCAAGTGCCACTCACATCCCAGCAAGGAGCCTCATACTCACTACACAGCTCTTCGTTTCGCAGGTACTTTCCTGCAACACCACGACCATGGATACCCAGGCCAACTCTTGTTAGGGAAAAGGACTTCAAGTCGCCCGGGCTGCCGCAGATGGGAGAAGAACCAGCCATCCTGGAACGGCCAGGAACATTTTCCAGTAAATCCTGACATCCCATCAGTCTCACTTCCAACGTTCCTGAGGAATTTTAGGAGAGTAAAGAATGTTATTCCATAAAAGACAACAGTGATTCCAGTTAATCTATCCTCATACGGATCCAAGAATTTCTCAGATTCATTATTCTTTGGCTCATATAGCTTAAATCTACCACAGGTTAGAATAACATAGCATAGAACAGTCCAGTTGGAAGCAACACACAGAGATTAACAAGTCCAAATTCCTATTTAACAGAGGAAATATATTTAATACATTAATCAACTACTAACTCATATGATCAGAAAGCTTTTAGTAGCATAGGAGAAATAAGTCTCATTCACAGAAGATCAAACGTCCACATAACAAGAGGCATTACAACTATTAGAAGAAATGCAACTCATTTTTAATTTCATCTTCTCCACAACAAGATGCCACGCAGGATTTACGTACCTGTAAGGGCTGTAGGTTTGATGACTGAAGTGGGATGGATAATGCCATGCTGAGCTCCCAGGGAAGAGGTATTCACTAATTCCTGCTTGATGAGTGCTCGTTTTGGGTGATCTGGAGAAAGCCCACTAAGCTGACGTTCCAAGGACAAGCGCAGCAGGTCAATCTTCTGAGAGGACTCTTGCAAACGACCCTGAGCCTAGCAATATGAAGTAGAACAGAAAGCAGGCAGAAGTTTTCAAAGGAACAGCTCCAGTCCAGGTACTGTTCCTTTATGAACAGCTAGAGTTGGTCTCAAAAAATGCGCTGATAACATCTTAAAAACAAAGAACTTGAGGGAATATTTTCCAACAGATCCTGACTGCCCCATCGGTGTCTAAGTAGTTTCTAAGTAGTTTCACCAAAGCAAGGAATTTTATCCCTGGAAGAGAAAGTGATCCCAAACAGTCTGTTCTCACAGTCAGGAATTTGCCAAATTCACAACTTATGGTTAGTTCTGCTCATTCAGGCTAAATCACTGGTGTTGAGGCATGAAACTGCTCTTTAAGAAGACCTGAATAAGTGCTTACCTCGGCCAAAAATTTGCGATCTTGTACCCGACTCCCTCCCAGGATCTTCAGCACATTTTTTGCCCCCTCAGCTACAGCAGCTTCAATGCGCAGACGATGCCTCAGCTCCTCAATGCGCAGCTCCGCAGCATTGATGGTGGCTCCCAGCCTCACTGGGTATTTGGGAGATAAAATACAGTGAGGCTCAAAATAGACTATTCTGGATCTTAAGGCTTTGGCCACATCTTCTACTTAACACACTCTACCTGCTGGATCCACCGTATCTTCCATCCCTCCTGCTGACTGAGACACCTTCACGATGTGCATGCGGATAATTTCAATCTTTGTCTTACTATCCTGAAGCATCTGCTTAGCAGTAGCCAGCAGCTTCCGCTCCTGACAAACAGAAACCATGTGAAGAGGAAGGACCACGATCATTAAAACTAGATTATGGCGATGTGTTCAGCTAAGGAGTGAGATGCTACCTGCAATAAGGATCATACAAACGACTCCGAAATAGCATACTTAAACATCTATGTAAAAGAGACATTGCTGAGGATCAAGGACTTTGAGATCATTATCTCAGTTTTTAGAGAGAAAGGACAGGCCAAGGAGTCTTTGATGGACTCAAACTGGATCACCACATGATTCATGAAAGGCACAGGCAACCATACCATGGGCCAAAGTGGACTAAAAATGCCCTTCCAGATAAGCCTTGCCCTAACCTCCAGTAATTATAATTAGCTTAAGCTCTTGACAAATGATATATGTGCCATCCAATTCCTTTTCAATTCCTGCAATCTATGTGTTGGACTTGCTGTAACACTTTCATATGACTGGTTGTCCCATGCAGTACCATAACCTGCTGTCACTATGCTGAGCACCAAAACGCAGAGCTAGGATTCAGTCAAGCACACTTCACAGATTAATTTCTTTCACACACCAACTACCAGAGAGAGTTTGTACATGGATTTAATACAGATATATTTAATTCCAGGAACCGATATTCCCAAACTGTTGTTTATTCCTGCTTACCTTGGATGTTGCACTTGAATACATCTGGATCATATTCTCAGCTCCTTGCTTGACTTTCATTTCAACATGCAGCTGCTTTTTCAGAGCTTCAACCTTCCTTGCCATGGGATCTGGGTTTCTTTCCCAGAGGCAAGGGTCAGGAGATAAAGATCCGTCTGTACAAACTATGTCATAAACACAATTAATTGTCTTTTCTTGAGTTCTTTCACTGCATGGTTCTAAATGATTCCACACAAGAAGGTTAAGTTACAAAATAACACATAAGGAGGTCTCTATTCTCTACAAAACCGACTGCAAAATATTGTTTCAAATGAAGCTTAAGTTTCTAAGTATTTCTTTTTATCAGTGAACTACTCTTACCAATCACTCTTGCAATTTTATACTCATTCACATCCCATAAGGTACTTAAACGTTCATCTGCCTAGAAACTCCATTCAGATCCCTCCAATTTCACCTACAGCCTGTTCCTAAATACTGTTCATGCCCACCATTCTTCCCTCTACACTAATCTCTCATGTTGCCTGACTCCTTTCACCTCAATTGCCTCCATTCCCAACCTTTTACCGCACAGATTATTTCATCAGCTGAATACCAACAGGCAAAATCCCCCCTAGCATTGGAGCACCACGAGATTTTCCCTCAGCCGTGACCCATGGCATACCTGTCTTATTGTCCTCCTTGTCAGTTATTACAATCCTCGCATTCAGCTCCTGAAGTTCCCAATGAAGTTGCTCTAGTTTGCGGTTGGAGGATTTCAGCACGTGCTCTATATGAGCAAGATTTTTTCTGTCTGTTGTTGCTTTACGCAGGTTTTCTGCTCCCTCTTTAATTTTCAGTTCTTTCTGTATAGCACGACGAAGCAGTTCCTTCTCACCCTCCAGTTTTTGCTGGAAGCTTGGATCCATTAAGTTCACACCATTGCCCAGCTGCAAGAGACAGCTGCCCTGCAATCAAGCAGCATTGGGCAAGAGGATTTCAATGAAATGACACAGTTTAACCTCCTTTTTGAGGATGAAACAACACCCTTACAAGATTCCACTCTTTCGTTTCATTTAGAAAATGGTTCACACAAACTGAAGCTCATCTTTTCATGAAGTTTTCAAGACTTAGATTCAAATTCCAGAGAACAAAATGCAATTTTGATCATCCTGTGCTGTAATTCGGCTTTAAATCATAGTAGAAGCAAACCTCCATCTTACTTTTCTTTTTGGTTATTTAATGGCTACATAAATCTTTGTTCCTACAGTATCAAAGCTTAACCAATATTTGCCCTTGTCCTGATCATGTTTTACTGGTACCATACAGTAAATACAGATTATGTGTCCAAAGACACACAACTAACAGTTAGAGGCGTTACAGAATGTCACAACCGTGCATCAACTCAAAGCTGTTGCCCATTTCCCACATGAAGAAGATAAACATAACCCCTACAGCAGTTGCTTACAAATGAGCAAGCAAACAATAAGCTTAACTTCCAGCTGTGTCTGAAAAGGGAAGCAGCCTGCTGTCTCAACCTGTGGTTTACAGGCAGCAAGGCCACTTAACGCGCTGCATTTCGCAGCCACCACATTTGCTCTGGGCTTTGTTTTGCACTGTTTTCAACACACCTTGTTCTGCTGAGATACGCCTCAGCAGCAGCTCTGGACAGAGGTGTTCTGAATACAAACTCTGAACCTTTGAACCTGCACAGTATAGGCAGAAGCACCTAAAGTATATCTCACTCACCAAACAAGCACTGAATTTAAACAGCAGCTTTTAAAACTTCATCCAGAAGGATGCTACCTAACACCTGGAGAAACAGATGAAAACAAGAGGCTGTGCTTCTCTCTTCTACACAAGAAGTGGCTTTATGGCATTAAGAGAATTTAATATCTTAACGTAGCATGGTCACATTCCCCACTTAAATGCAAAAGAAATGGTTGCACAGCCAAACTCCCCTCCACCAACCAACTGGGTACCACACAACCACACCAAAGACAGAACTCAGGAATCCTGACTTGTTTTCATATTCTTTAATTGGTTGACCACATTCCCAACAATAAACCACACTGGTTTTGCATTACTCACATACACTGCTGCACTTTAAGTGTGCTGTGCACCCAAAGCCCATGCCACTCACAGAGAAACAAATAATTATTCAATCATAGTCTTTGTATATTTTGTTACACATCTCAAAGACCCAAACCAACATCCTCGACCAGTTCGCAATACAATTTCAGCCCAACAGCAAAATAATGAAAGAACCAAAAGGAAAAACAAATCTATTTTAAATTTGGCCTAAAACCAAGTTGGGTCTGCAAGGGATACACTATAGCCATAATAGGAATTGTTCTAATTGGTAGCAAAACAAAAAGGTTCAGATTAACATCCTGAGTCCAGGAAGTTCTCGCCCTGTTAGTAAAGCCAGGAACTAAGCCAGAGCTTTGAAAAACTTCCAGGGTTTTGCGAGGAAGAACTTGAATCATGGAGTTCCTGAGTCACGGGCTCAGGCTCTACCAGCTCGAAGTTGGAAAATCAAAAAGCTCTTTATCCAGTTTGTAAAAAGCGACTAAAATTAATCTGCTGGTTACGTCTCAAAAAAAAAAAAAAAAAAAAAAAAAAATCAGAAAAAGCAGGCAGATTTATTTTCCATCCAAACTGTGCAAATGGAGGTAAGCAATCCATCCTTTCCATCTGCACTGAGCAACAGAATGAGTGGATGAGTGGCTGATGCAAGATTTGTTCTGACAAAGGGTACCGAGTCCAGAAACCTGGATAGGGGCTCAGAGAACAGGTACAGTCCAGGCAGTAGTCAGGTCAGTTTCCCTTCAAGTCACTCTGCCAGAAGCTGGACGGAATGCACCACACTCATTTTCTAAACACAATTAGAATGTAAGCATGGCTTTACTGGGTCCTACTACCCTTCTATAGAGCAAGGATGCCTTACCGTAGATACAGCTTGCTCCAGGAACATAGAACATTCTATTCTGAGAAGGATAAGAAAGCTGCCTCTGCATTTGTGTTGATGCATTTTGCATTCTGACTGAGGAATGTCGGTGGGGTGTCGGGATGCCGCCACAGCCCACGTGCAGCTGTTCCTGGCTTCCCAGAGGTCAGCCTTCAGCTGAGCTCAGCCCTTCAGCACAATCCAGGCGTACAACCACAGCTTGCACAGAAATACCCCCAGCTAGCTTAAATTAGCTCACTTTTGGTACCTTCGCCTGCTACAGCTCACCCAGGACTTCAGCTGCACTCAGGTTGTGCTGAAGCATCCAGACTGCTTCCTCACCAGCAAAGATTTCAGCAGAGCCCAAGTTGCTCTTAGCCCTCTGGATTGCAGCTCTTGGGCCACTACCCAGCCTGGCCATCAGCTCCAGCTGCACAAAGCCCAGCACAGAGCCGTCCTTCAGAGCCACACCGCCAACTGAGACCGATCTGCAGTTTGATGTAAGGAGGTGGAGGTGATGAGAGCATCCCCGCTGCAGACACACGTGTTCACCGCAGCAGTTTAAATCCCTTCTTTCACAGCAACTTCGTGCTGAGGCCCGCGTCAGGCAGACCACGTTAACCACATTTGCTCTTTGCAAGAAAAGGACACAGCTCGGTTTGGAAAAAAAAAAAAAAAAACAAACCGATTGCAGTCCTGCCTGGAGCTGGTCCTCTTTCCAAAACTGAACGATGAGATTTTTGGCAAGCGGAGATCCCGTGTGGCTGCAGGACGGGGCACACCCGCAGCAATGGCACCGAGAGCTCTTTGTGCCGTCTCTCCATCACCGCTTGTCCAGATTCGGCTCGAAACGCCTCAAGGAGGAGTTCGTACCCCTGTGCCGGGGAGCTTACCCCAAAAACGGTGTTTTTCCCAGCGGGGAGCCTCGCACACCCTCCCACTCCGAGGAGGACCCCGCTTTCTTCCGCAGCACAGACCCCGACTCCCCGAGGAGCGCCGGGCGCTGCGGGCTGCCTGCCTGCCTGCCTGCCTGCCTGCCTGCCTGCCTTCTCCCTCCCCCGCCTCTCACAGCGCCCGGGGCGCGGTCCCTGGGAGAGAGCCGCGATCCTCTCTGCCCACCGCCCCCTCCCGTGGGTTTCCGGCGGAGCACGGAGCCGAGTTTTCCAGGCGAGAGGATGGGGAAACCCCCCGAGAGCCCCCAGGACGGGGCCGAGGGACGCCTCGATGCCCCTCGCCTCAGTTTCGCCTCGCCCTTCGCGCCGCTCACCTGCGGGCTCCCCGCCGCCATCGCTCGGTGCTGCGCCGCCAACGACCGGCACTTTTTCAAACTTCAGCCTTCCCGGGAAGCGGCGCGGCCCCGCCAGCGCCCTCTCGCGGGGTCCGGGTCTGGGAAGTCCCGGCGGGCGGCTCTCGAGAAGCGGGGTTCCTCCTCCCGCCCCGCGCGACGGCCGGCAGGGAACTCAACCCTCCGCCCCCGCCCTGGGGGAACGGCCGGGATGGCGGCGGGAAAGAGAGGCGCGGCGCTCGGACGCTGAGGAGACCGAGGTACCTCCCGCCTCCATAGGCATCGGCAGCGGGGTTTTGTGGCAAAGTGACGTTACGGTGACGCCGTGACAGATCTTAGCTCCGGCCGTGCTCGGTTCGTGACATCTCCGGGCTGAAGCCGGGCGCTGTCGGTTGTGCTGGTTTTGCCAGCTGTCTGTAGTTTGCACACAAGGCAATGCGCGGCTCTGCTCCAGGGTCGGTGCTGCCCTGAAAAGGAGACGACGCCCATCTGACCGTGACCAACTAATCCTCCGTAGAGATGCCCCTCTCGGAGCAGGATCGAGACAACGCTGCTTCAGCTGAATATTTGGGACAAAAGTAACCCGAACCCATTGGCAGCTTTGCTACAAAATTCCAAGCGCTGCCTCAGCGCCATGCAGAGCTGAAGTGCGGTGTATCGCATCCACCGAGACGCACCATCACTGCCTTCGGGTGGCACAAACCTCCCCTCAGATCCTGCCTCAGCAGCACTGTGTTATTTTTGCATTAATATGCTTTTTCAGCCCTGGAGTCATCCAGAGTTGATAGTATTCCCACGTACGTGCTTAGAAACAGGCTAATAAAGAGAATGTTTTGCTTTTATTTAATTAGAGCCGTTTTTCTAACATAAGCCCGTTGTAAATAGTCTACAAGTGAATAATTAGCGTAAGGAAACCACCAGAAAATGTAGAATTTAAATCTAGCTTAATCAAGTTGAATTAATGAAGCTTTAGACTTCTATAAAACCTTTGAACATGCTCCTGTTGTTAATAAAGTGAGTACATTAGATTAATATAAACCCTTCTGGAACCTGCTGCTATTTGTAACGTGGGCCAGGCTCTGTTTAGTGTTTAAGGAATGATTTTAATTAGACTCTTCATTCTGTGGAAGTACTAGGAAGGGAAAAGATGATTTTAGTTGGCTTTGGAGTTTCACAGGAGCAGAGGACAAACCTGCCCCATGTGTGGGGATTCAAGTTTAGCTCAGTGAGGTGCAGAGGTCAGTCTGCCCATTGCTGTGGTGGGGGCTTCCTCATTCTTTTTGGCCCTCCACCTTCCCCGTGAGGCTGGGGATCAGTGTGTGGAGCCCGGAGAGCTGTAAGAGTTGGCTGAACGAGTCCTACAGCCAGGAGCGATGGGGCTGGCGGTAGCCAACCCTCACAGCACATGTGTGCCCAAAGGCCAAGAGGGTCTGGCTGTGCTGGCAGCCCTCTGCCTCCCCCCCACTCAGAGATAGCCCTGCCCTCAAGGCTATCCCTTCTGCTATCCCTTCAGCTATCCCTTCTGTTCACCTCTCTGTCCCCTGGAAAATGTCACTGCTGAAAGCACAAAGTGCCCATCCAGCCCTTCCAATGTCCTGCTGGGAGGAGGCATTGAGTGGGCACCGGCCTGCCACCAGCACAGGGGCACAGAACAGCCTCCTACAGCTGCCAGTGATGCTCCCAGGCTCAACCACAGAGCAGTCCTGCTGGCCAGCAGCACATGGGGAGCAGCGGCAGCACACAGAGGTGCTGCTCCAGCCCTCGGGCACTGCAGAAATCCTCTGAGTAGCAGCAAGGTCATTGCTGCACAAAGCGATGCTACTTTGCAGGCACTGGGTTTTAGGTCTTACAGGACTCCCTCCACTATAGAGCACGTTCACTCAGAGATGTGGGATCAAGAGAAAAGCCTTAGGAAACTCCATTTTAATCTGGGAAAAGGAGTGCAAGAGATTAAGCAAAGATCTGCTCCCCTGCAGAAGCAAGCTTCGTGTTCCAGTGTCACTTGTGACCTCAGCTTTGCCATACTAGGCACCTGCAGTCCATAAAGAAGAGCAAAAAACCTCCACCCAACAACGCAGTTTGGGACTAATAGCTGATTGTTTTGAAAAAGACTCTTAGAAATGGTAACATCAAGTTACAGTTAAAGGTACTTTAATTCCTTCCAATAGAAGGATAGCTTGAAGGTACATCAGAAGTGATTTCAGGTTTTCTGTTTGGGAGAGAAAAAAAAAAAAAAGAAAAAGAAAAAAAGACATGGCTTCAAAATTCAGGAACAGTATCAGATAAACAAAGTGCTACCATTATGCACCTTTTGAAGTGGTACAAAGAGAAGCTTACAGATTCAAACAAATGGCATGAATGACTGAGAAATCGATTCAGATAATGCTTGTTTACAGGGACAAAACCTGTATTGACAACTGAATAAGCATACATGTTAAAAAACCTATTTACACACACGGATGTATTTGCTTTCTTTTGGCACTAGAAATTACAGACAAAGGATTCAATTTTATAGCAATTAAATTTCAAACTTAAAATAACCTTCAAGTCGTTTAAGTCATTTAAGTACAGTAACTTTAAATTGTCACCAATTCCATATTTTAACCCTGGAAATTCAAGCCATAAAGCCTAAATTCAGCTTCCATCTGTGACAAGTTTCACTCAGTAGGATCAACTGCATGTGAGGAGCTTAAGCAGCATTGGAGAGTTAACAAGAGATAGAGATAGATGTTTAATAGAAATTAATCTCCCATTCTTATCCAAGGTGGACATTACCTCTAAATGCCTTTTTGAATGCAAACACAGATTAAGTCAAGTAAAAATGGGCACCCAATACTTATATTCAGTCAAATTACACATTGCGTGAACAGCCAGAGCGCATGATGCCCACCTCCAATATTTCCTCACTGTTGGTGCTGAGAAATGTGTTAATTCCTATTCATTTCTATTGGTAGAAAAACTATTTAAGATTACATTTAAATATGTTTTTTAGCACATTAGTTTACTCGTTAGCTGTTGCCAGTAGTAAACCTTCTGTTTCACAGGAAATTCAGTATCATCAGTACAGCAGCAAGAATGTTTTGTTATCCTGTAAAATCCACACCATCCCTGTGTAAATGGACAAGGAAGCCTCCAACGAAGCATTTCAATATCCGTGCTTTCCATTTCCTGCTCATGGCATTTTGACTTTACAGAACCCGAAGCTTTGATTACTTTCAAAACAGTTTTTATAGGTTTTCTGATCATAACAGACATATTAGCAACAATGGCACAGGTTGGGATTTTTTTTTTCCCCACAAAGCATTAAGACTAGCTGGATTATTATCCATAAAGACCTACAATCGATTAGGATTACATAAAAATTAACATTTGTGAGGCATCAGGGCAAGTAACAATAGCACATCAACCTGCTACCACAACAGGTAGTGGACTTCTACCTTATAGCAGAAAAAGGAAGCAAACAAAGAAGTTATAGGCTTCTTAACTTTCATTTGTTCTCTCTCTAGATGGCAAAAAAACCAAAACCAAAAACACAACAAAAAAATTACAGTTAATATTTTCATTCGCTTTGCAAGCAGAAAGTCCTGAGCAGAAGCTCTAGTTGAGATGGAATAAAGTAAATGGCCTTATTTCACACTGATTGCACGCAGATGGATGTTGTACCATCTCAGGTAACCAGGCTGAATCCGAGATGGATCCAATGCTTACACAACACTCTCCCCTTTCCTATGTTATTTGGGCATGTCTCAAGTAGAGATTAATCTTGCTCTGCTACGTGTATTCTTAAGCATTAAAAAAGAAAAAAAAAAAAAAAAGCAGAATTTGATTACAGCAAATTCTGTGAGGAAAAGGAATCGGAGAATAAGAGCAAGTCTTCCCAGAAGACAGTCTTCTCTACACATCCAAAGAGAACTAGCTGTTTGAATTTGAGATTAGCTAATACAATCTTTTAAATATTTCAAAAGCACAGCATGTTAAAACAACTTTCATTACACTTGGTGAAATACCAACAATCTCTATGTGAAATCATTACAAGCTATTCAAACAGTCTCTTAACGCGGGGGGAGGAAAAAAGAAGTCTATCTAAAGCATATTTACACACTGCTACCAAGGAGAGAAAGCAGTAAGTGGCAGCTTCTTTATACAAAAGCTTCCAAGAATCTTGCTAATTGAAATAACCCAAAAAGTTTGCTTGCACTGAATATTTATTTTCACCTGAACAGAATTCTAGAACCACAGATAGTCTTACTAGAGCCCATGCCATCTTTTTATTCGGAGTTTGCATGATCTTCTCACGCAAACTGATTTCCTTGAGGTACAGTACTCCAAATTGGTACTAAAACAGCTGAGACAAGTGGCTTTTCTTTTTGCAGAACTTGAATAAAAGCTTTATCTTCATACCAGGCATATGCACTACAGCCTCGTCTCACGACTGTCACATCATTCAAGAAGTGGAGCACACAGCAGTACCTCCAGACGAAGCACTTCCCAAGTACTGCCATAATGGAACCTAAATGAACCGATTACCAGTCCACAGAACCACAAGGTTGCATTGCACTACATAAATACTGACCAAACGCCCCCAAAAATGCCAAGAAGCTATGTGCAAATCCAAAACAGAATATTACAACTGTTTCTTTCAGTGAAGACCAACCAGTCCCTTTGTGTACACATTTAGTTTTATTGTAACAAAGCAACTTGTACACTTTAACGTTTAAAACTGAGCATCTTTCTTTCCTTTCCAGTGAAACAAAAAAAAAAAAAAAAAAAAAAAAGAATTTAAAAATAAACAAGAACAAAATTACAATAGAGAATGTCAATTCCAAATAAGATCCTACAGGTTCTGCTGATTCTCCATCAAGTGGCAGGGCTCAAAGTCATCATTAGGAGAAGATTTTATTTTAAAAGTGTCATCTTAAACTGCAAGGATGTTTGTTAAACATCACAATTAAACATGCCAAAGGAGAAGAAGCCATGTTGTCAAAATGCCCACTTACCCCACCCACACATCTGAAACCCACCCCAGGCTGACCTTCTATAACCCCATTTTTTTTTTTTTTAGCTTTTTCTTTTTTTTTTAAACAAGAGAAAGTAGACAGATACATGTTGGTAAATGCTAACTGTCCATATTCACATAGAGACACAGTGTAATCTCTGAGCCCAATATACAGAGAAAGAAGGAAAAAAGCTAGATTCTATGCACTACTACACAGGGGCCTAGCACTCTTCAGCTTCCAGCAGAGTGAAGGGAGCAGAAGGTTTTCTTTTTTCCCACAGAATATGGTGTGTTGATTCCATAAACAGTTTTTGTTTTGAGACAGAAAGGGATAAAAATGAACTTGAAACAGAAACCGGTAGATTCTTTTCCACTGCCTTCTGCTCAAGGTATTTTCCCCAAATTAAATTGTGAACCATGGTGTAGAGGAGAGAAAAAGAGACCTCAAGAGAACAAGGAGACTGAGCACAAGAAAAAAAAGACAGCAACTTGCTCCCAGGGACTGGAGAAAAATTAAAAAGGTAAAAAGGGAATTTGGAATCCATCAGTGTTCAATTAGTCATCTTCTCCTTCATCCTCCTGTTGAAAGATAAACAACAATTAAAAGTCTAATCACTAAACGCCAGATAGCACGAACTTTCAAATGCAGTAACTAGAATGTTTTGCTACCCTAGAGACTACAGTCCTACAGTATTACTCATAGCACTGTGTGATCATCTGTCCTTCTTCACTAATAGTGACACTTATCATGAGTTATGCAGCACAAAGAAGCCAGTCAGTACTGTACGTCCCATTGAAAAAACAGTTCTGAAAGAGTTACCGTGACTTAGAATCACTAACATTCATCATTTAGAAAGTGAATTCATTCTTTTTCTTTTGTGTTTCCCTTTCAAATCAGAAGAGCAAATTTCTTCAACTTTCAGAGGCTGGTATTCTAATTACAGCCCATTACTCAGCACACAGCGCCTGGTACCACACACAGCAGTCCTCCTGCCTCAGTAACCAGAAATAAATGCTCAGTTTCAACTTCCCGAAGCCCTGAGTGCTGTCTCCAGAGCCCCACTCGATACTAAGCAAAACTTAATTCCTGAACTCAGCAAAGAGTCTTAGCTGGAATGCCAATAAGCCAAAATGAACCAACAGGCAGGAGAATCACAGAACTGGATGCATCAACAAAAGCTACTGACAAGTAAAGTTTTGCTATAATGCTCGCTAATTAATGACTTTATTAAGCTAGAGCAGATACTAATATCCTAATTCACCTGGAGCACTTTCCTTGCAGGTTCACTCAAACGAGGTTATTTGCACACTCAGATACAAATGTACTTACCACTACACTGAAATACTGTAAGTTAAAGCAGTAATAGTTCTGCTTCTCTCCTTCTAAAACTTTGACAATGACTGCACAGAAAACCACCTTTACACCAATGGCTCAATATTCTCACAAAGTCCCTCCATTAAACTGGTTTGATTCCCACAGATCAGAGAGGGAACAGGTAAAGGTTGAGCGCTCACCTCTCCTTCCTCTCCCTCATCATCATCTTCATCTTCTTCTCCCTCATCTTCATCTCCTTCTTCGTCAATATCCTCCAACCCTTCTTCCTCTTCATCATCATCATCGTCTTCCTCTCCCTCCCCTTCTTCATCATCCATATCAGGAACCTTAAAGAACATACAATAACTACAATGATCAAATTCACTTTTACCTGCGCAGCGCTTCTGCAGGTACGGCTAACAGCACGGCGCTCCTCTTACCAAGTAGTACTGTAATGGATTTGGCCAGATGTCATCCTTGATGACCTCTCCTAGCTCGTCAGCACCTGCATCAGAGTGGTCAGTGAACCAGGTAAAGAAACTTTCTGGCTCTTCATGCTGCCTCTTCCTACTGGCTTTGTTCTGTGTCTGGCTTGAACGTTTTGTCAGATCCTGAAAACAAAATTAAGAAGTTCTCTAAATACATTTTTACACTTTTTTGTGTGTGTTCCCCTCCCACCCCTCGCCCTCCCCCCAAAAAAAGTAAAACACAAGCACCATTTAGAAACACACTTGTCTAAACAACCAAAACATGACTTTTATTCCATCTTTCTGGGAAAAGTCATAAAATAAATGTTTGGAATCTTAAGGATTCATAGCAAAAGGTACCACTCAGCAGTAAGCCTACTTCTTTTAATGACTTCCACTGACACACTGTGGATACACAAGAACTTGCACTTCCTTTATGCCTCCCTGTCACGGAAGTAAACAAGTGTTTACTGAAATGCCAAACTTAAAATAGCTTAATACAGCTCTAGAGCTGCTGCGACTGTAGCTCAATGCTACATTTACCACATAAATCCACAGTTTAAAAATGGTCAGTCTCCACACTTCTAAGGTCTAGCCTTTAACTTAATAGTGAGATTTAAGCCTGCCAGGTGTTCTTATCTTAGCATGCTCTGCTTTGAAGTCTTCAGAACATTCTCTGTGGTAAGCAAATAACCACGCGCACAGCGCTACAACGTACGGCCACAAGAACACATCCACCACATCAGCCCAGAACTTTCCCAAGTTTGAGAAGAACACAACCATCCTGTATTTAACCCATTCTGTCTTGGGTTACAAGGTAACTCAAAACTTCCAATGTCTGTTTTCTTAACAGAATCATAACATTTATAAGCTTATACTATTTAAATGAACGATACTAAAATTCACATCGATTTTGTGGTATATTTTAAAGACCAGCTACTTCAAACTAGAACTGTGATTTCTGCACAGTAGCTAAGTTGAGCTGTTGTACAGAATTGAGAATAAATTATGTATCTCCATGTAAGTGTTGCAAAACATGAACTACACGTACAGAAAAGAGGGAAAGGGGTGGAAAGGGGAAGAGACAGCTGCAACTATGAAAAAAAGAAAGGAACACAAATGAAAATGATGGTATCACATACAGCAGCAACTGCCTCTCCCAGATACACAGAGACACACCTTTCCAGATTTCCATTTGATCTCAGTTGATTTTGAAGATGGGTCTCCGCTTTCATTCAGGTGAAACTCTTTGGAGAGAACTTTATTTTCAAAGTATGGATTCTCATCAAAATACTGCAAAGTTGAAAGCAAAAAGTTAGAACTCACAGAAAGTAATTGTATACGTGCCAACTCAAATCTGGTACTAAATAGACAACTGGAAAGACTAAGTTACAAACTACAAGCCCATACACAACTGCACTCAAAAAAGCAAAGTCACAAGTGAAGGAATATTCAAAGTACTTACAAAATCTATTCTGTAACCTGATTTGATGTCTTCAAATTCTGTCACCTCAACTCTGGTCAAATAATGCAGTGCCTCTTCGTCTTCTTCTCCCAGCAGTGCAGATACTGAAGAAGAATTAGGAATTCCAAGTTAACAAAGCTGTTAAACTTATGTCATGGACAAGAAATACAGGAGATTTCCACTGCATATGATCTGAAAAGCAACACATTTGAGCCAACTTCTTGTGGCCCATTTTTTTTAAGACAGAAGCCAGAAAACCGAGTACTAGCAGCTGTATTTTCTTTCAAGGGGCTGATCATTTGTGGAAAGTGTGAAACTTGTCATTTAAAATACAGGAAGAAAATTGCCATGGAATCCTAGTGATCAAGATGTTCCTTTGGTCAGCAAATACAAGAGCCAAAAAGCTTATAAAATGTACCCTGTGACAAAAGGAAGTGTTTGCACACGAAGCAGGCTTCTGTGTAAGTGTATGCCTAGTAATATTCCTAGAAAACACTCAGAACAGCAAGAGCCTCACATTATAAGCAAGGAAGCATTGAATGTACGGAAGCAGAGGGCTATTAGCAATATACCTTGCGGGTGGTTGACAAATGTTGTTACCCAGAAATTTGGGATTTTGGCGATCAATTCTGACCTCTTCTGGAAGAATGGTTGGCGGAGTTTGTTGTATTTCTGTTCTACTTTCAAAATTTCCTCACTGGCTTGTTCATTCAGTCTGTAATAGAAAGAGCCATGCTAACCTCACGAGAGAAAACTGTACCATCAGTAGTTAGCTGCAAACTGAATGGATTTAATTATAATAGTCAGGAGCTCAAACATAAAACAGAGGCTCAAAGCCGTAACCACTGGCAAGAGACACCCTACCAGAAGCAAATACACACATCTTAATGAAGCACTCTATGTTATGCTTTGCAGCATTACCTGAGGGGTAGACCCTTATTGATGCAATGCAAAGTAGTATTCGACACCTTACACATTTTGTTTGCAAGACACCTGTTGATGTGCAGTGTGTAACACTATTACCCACCCTGTATAATTTTGGGGCAGGTAAGCATGACTACAGCAAAGCAACTTTGTACCCCACATCCATAAAGCCTTAAGACAGAACACTTAAATGGCCTTCTAAAAGACAGAGCCTTGAAACCACAACTTGAGCCTCACTTCTCACCTGCATGCATAGCAGGGTAATGTGCATGCAGATGAGACCCAAATACAGACAGAGCACGCACTATCTGGGGAAATTAAATTGTCAGTGAACTTTTCTACCTGTTACTCTACAAAAACACACATGTATAATAAAAATATTTCCAATAAAGCTGTCTTTTCAACTTCTCTGCTCAAAAGCATGAGAATACTTTCGCAAAACAGCACACGCGTCAGCATGGAAAATCAGTAAGTAATAAAGCTCTTAACTATCACAGTGAATTTAAAAATACAAACTCAAGTTCTGTATTATCAGTTTAAAAACTGTTAACCAAGAAATGGAGGCACTTATGCAAAATTTTGGTCACACACAAATAATTCTTAAAGCTGGTCAGGTCAGAACACAACACATCCCGTGGGGGAAGCTGGAGGGCCTGACAACCACTGCCAAGCACATCATGGACGTTTTTATTTTTGGAAATCTCTTACTTTCCGCTAAAGAAGAACGAAAGCTTTGTAATGTTTACCTGTCTATTTCATTCTGTACTTCATCAATGTGTTCAATTGCTTCCTGTTGCTCTTTTTCTGAAAAATAAATGAAAATGCATCAAAATCCCTCAATTCTTGAACCTGAGAAATCACTTGACATTTTCTCCTAAGACCTGTCCCAGCGACCTACTGCAAAAATACAGGCGTTTCTATTTAGTGCCTTCAGCACTACCAGCCCTTCAAGTTTCACCTACTTTATGGCGAAGTGTGGCTGAAGTGCTGAAAAGTTCACAGAAATGGGACTGCTTACAAGTTTACGTCCAAAAATCACAGCTACAGTTCCTCTAGGTGGTTTTACAAATCAATGTGGGCAGTAAGCAAATCGGGAGAGATAACTAACAATTTCACTACGCAGTTACAAGCCTAAGACCAACAGATTTCAAAGAACACGCGTTAAGCGATTCGGAAAAGACAGGAACATCAATGGGAACAGCCCAACCAAGAACGCGCTGCCTTCTAAAAACCAAAAAGCACGCGGGATGGGTCAGTTACAAGGACAGAACTCCGAGGTCACGCTTCGTCGGATATTTCCTATCGCTACGTTCCCTCGGACGCGTCCGGCAAAGCTCTCGATTAAAGGCCGCCCGTTCGCCCATCGCGCCCGGGGATGAATGAGCGGCAGCGGGAAGGGGCCGGCGCGGCGCGATCAGCGCTCCCCGCACGGCTCAGCTCTCCCCGAAAGGGCCCGGTCGCGCCGCGGGGAGCACGTGTGCGACCGCAGCGTGCGGCGGGCAAGGAGGAAGGAGAGCTGCGCCCTTCCTCCGGCGGCGGCAAACGGGAGGAAACCCGCGGCACGGCGGCGACCTTTCGAAAGCGCGGAGCGGCCGCGATCGCACGTGGGGAGGCGCGGGCGGTTCGCTCGGTCGGGCACCGCGTGGCCCCGCGGCGGCGGCGGCGCTCCATCCCCGCGCGGCGGAGCGGCACCACGCGGCGGAGCGGCGCCGAGAGCGAGAGGCGGCCAAGCATCATGGCGGCGGAGCACAATGAGGCTCCGCGGATGCCGCTCCGGGAGGGGGGGCGGGGGGGCAGAGCGGCAGAGCGGGGGGGGTCCCGCCGCTCCGCCGAGGCCGCAGCGCCCCCCGCCCGGCCCCGCCCGCGCCCGTGGGGAAGAAGGCCGGGCCGGGAGCGGAGACAAAAGGGCGCTAACATGGCCTCCTCCCGCCGCCGCCGGGGCCTGCACATCCGCCCGGCCGGCCCCGCGCTCTTCCCGCCTCCGGCCCGGCCGCGGCCCGTGCGCTCGGGGAAAATGGCGGTCGGCGCGGCGCGGCGCGAGCCGGACGCCGCCATTCCCTTCCCGCCTCCGGCGCGGCCTCACCTGAGGTCTCGTCGGCCCCATCGTGGTTGGAGTTGAGCTCCTTCTTACTGACTTTGGCCGCCGGCGCCGACATGGTGGCGGTGCGGAGCGCGCAGGGAGGGAGGGGGCTGTAGCGGGGCTGAGGGAGGGGGGGCCGCGCGCAGACTCCTCCTGCTGCCGCTGTGCTGCCGCCGCCGCCGCCGCTCTGCCGCCCTCCGCCGCCTCCTCCGCCCGGACTTGGGGCTCCCGGATCACAGGGGGCGGCAGCGGCGCTCGCACTGCCTCGCGCTCCCCTCAGCCAGAATCGCCGCCGCCGCCTCCTCCTCCGCCTCCTCCTGCTGCTGCTGCTGGCGAGGGGCGGGCGGCGCAGAGCGCATGCGCAGCAACCCCCCCCCTCCGGGGCACGGGGGGGACGTAGGCCGCGACGCGCAGGCGCACCGAGCCCCCCTCCCGGGCGCTGGGCGGCGGGCGCCGAAGGGCGCAGGCGCGCGCCGCTCCGCTCCTCTGGAGAGGACGAGCGCGCCGCCGCGCGCAAGCGCTGAGACCGCCTCCCGCCGCGGGCGGCACGCGCGCAGCCGCAGAGAGGCTCCTCCCGCGCCCCGCCCCCGCCGACCACTCCATGCTGGGCGCCCATTGGCCGCGCCGATCGCTCTGGTGAGGCGGGGCTCGGCGCGGAGACACAGAGGACGGCGCGAGAGGCGGGAGAAGAGAAGGAGGGAGGCAGGGAGGCGGAGGTGGGGGGAGAGAAGGGCGGCGGCGCGCGCAGGTGTTCGTGTGAGGAGCGGCCGGGGGCGATATGCGCGTGCGTGCGCGCCGCCGTTGCCGTCACCCAGTGCACGTGGCCGCGCACCTTCAGCGTGAGCGCCGAGCTCGAAGCGCGCTCGTCTCCTCACCGCCTCCCCCGCCCTGTGCCGAGGGGCCGTCTGTAGAGGAGCGATCCTGGCGTCACGAGGGGCTGGCAGAGGTCCCGCGGGGGAAGTTTGTCTGTGTGAGGGTTTGGGATCGATGATCCTAACACGCAGCCGCCCCGAGCGGCTTCACTGCCTGAGATGGCCCTGCCGGCACCGGCATCTCCGGTGCTGCCTGGCCGATGGGGCCCTCGGACGTGGCTGCTGCCTCCGCATTGCTGCCTCCGCATTGCTGCCTCCAGCTGGAATATGACTCAGACCAGTTCAGACGTTACGTTCCGAGGGCGCAGAGGCCCTGTCAGTCACATCAGCCCACTCCGTTAGAGTGGAAGCACAGCCCTAGAAGGTCACTGAGCCCCGGCGCCTGCCAGCACACCTGCCACTGCAACCAGGACAAGCAGCCTTTAAATAACCCTTTTTGTCCCTTTCCACCTGTTGTGGAAGAGCTCAGTGCAGCCTCCAAGCTAAGTGAGCCCTGTTTTGCTCTTAAAGTAACAGCTGAGCCACTCTTTTCTACCAAAAATGCAGCATATCGCTCACAAATGAATATTATAATGCAGATCAAGCTAAGAAACAGACACAGCTTTGATGAAGTAGAAACTTGCCCTTTGTGGTTTGCTTTCCAGTCACACAACATTCTCACATTCTCCCCTTCCCTTCCCTTTCCCACCTCCTCAAGTTGCCCTTCCAATGTACTTAGCCAGCAAGGCCTGGATCAGCTCCTGCCTCCTCAGAGGCCCCACAATAATACCCCATTTCCCATTCACACCTGTGGCTTCCAAATCCCAAGGTTTTTTCCCTTTGTGTTCCTTGCTGTCACTTCCTGCCGGCTATGTCTGCACCCGCGGCCACCCACAACTGCTGTGGCACAGCCACAGATTGCACTGTGCTTCCCCATGCAAACGTGAGAGGAGCTGCCACCTGTGCTAGAAGCAGTAATGAAGCATCACAACTTAATAATGCAGGATGATCAACCTCTCCCCTAGAGGGAGGTCTCAAGGCCTTTCTGATGCCCAACACAGCAACAAAGTTTCTCTCGCGCTCTGTCTGCATTTCCCAAGATTGATTAATATGGATGTTTTCATATCCAGACAAGGTAAGGTAAGCTCAAGTGCGCAGCACGATTTTCTTTCTTCTGTTTTCTTTTAATCTCTTCACTATGCAACTGTGTATGTTTGCTTATTTCCCTTTTAATGCTTCTAATATGCTATTCTGTTCTATAGATCGGCCTTTTAAGGTACACAATTTGAAAATGTAGGCTGTATAATTGAAAGTCAGTTCTGTGATGATCAAAGGAGCATATGCTTACTCCCTACTACTTCTGCACATAAAGCAGTATGTGCTCCTGAAGTGTGATTTGTCTGTTCCACTTTTGTACCCTTTCACCCAAACTGGCCAGTTGCTTTTAGTCTTGTCTGCCTTTCAAAGGAAAACCTCACTTTCAGTTCAGCTGCAGTCTGACTTTTGGGTATAATTCATAAAAGGTCTCCCAACAACAGGTGCTTACATACTTCTGGGGCTTGGCTCAAACAGTTTGACAGCAACTCACAGAATGATGCCTTCTTTGTCCTCCCTATTGCTTTATAGAGACGTAATGAAATAAAACGAAGCCAGAGTTAGTGTAGTTGTTAAGAAGGAAGGATGAGAGCAGAGCACCTAGTGGCTGTTGCTGCTGAATTGATTCACTGTTTGTTCTTGCTGCACTGTCAACATATATGCCCAGGAGCAACATGACTCAAGTATTTGTGAAAAAGCAAGCAGTGCAATTCTCAACTCGTCTGAAACTTTCCTCTTTGTAGGGATCCTAAAGCCCATGTAGTTTCATGAAAAAGGAAGAAAAATGGCATCTAGGTGATATAAAGCCTTGTTACATGAGTTATCTGCTGTTACACAAGGTTTTCCAGAAATTACATGTGATGCTCAGACATAAGACTGTGCTTAATATTCATGATAACACTAAAAACAAACATCCCGTTTAGAAAAACTTGTTCTTGTAATTGATAAATATTCAGTCGCTTTCCTTCACCGCTGCTGATGTTTTTCATTGTCCATAATTAACACCTAAGGCAGTTTCAGTCCTTTAATGACTGTTGATTATAAAATGTACAGTTACAATCCTGTGAAATAGATATGTTAATGCATTTGCAGAATATGGTGTCCTCCTCCTCTCCTCTTATATATATATATATAATCTTCTCTATATAATATATATATGTAACATCAAATATAATTGACAAGTAGCACTTTGTCCTGAATGACACCGTCCAATATGCTGCCTCTATCTCAAGTAGCTTCTTTCCATTGGTGTTACAGTTTGTATTCCTGCTCTTCTCTGAACTTCAAGTTGTATGGTTGTAGTTGCAAAACTGGACTGTCTGTGGTATCTTTCCAGCTGAGTGCACGAGCGTTGTCAAGTAAAGGAGTTAGATCTTCACAGCCTTCAGGGTGGCAGTGACTCTCAGATAAGTGAAGAAAACTCGTGTTCGTTTTCCTCTGTGTATTTGTGAATGTCTGGGGGGTGTTGGCAGCACCTGATAATGATTAGTGGCCTTATAGTTTACATAGAGTGTAGTGGTAGTTGCTCGTTGTTCTCGAGAATGGAATAAACAGAACCTATTCATAAAGAGTCTTGTCTTTGATGCAGAAGTTCAGATCTCCCAATATGTCTTTCTTTAGATAGATATAGAATCATAGAATTGCTTGGGTTGGAAAAGACCTTAAAGGCCATCGACTCCAACCACAACCTAACCATACTGCCCTAACTCTAACAACCCTCCTCTAAATCATGTCCCTGAGCACCACATCCAGATGGTTTTTAAACACATCCAGGGATGGTGACTCAACCACCTCCCTGGGGAGCCCATTCCAGTGCTTAACAACTCTTTCTGTAGAGTTTTTCCTGATACCCAACCTAAACTTACCCTGGCACAACTTGAAGCTGTTTCCCCTCATCCTGTCACCTGCCATCAGTGAGAAGAGATTACTACATCTAATATTACTGCATTACTACAAGACAGAGACATAATTGGTAATCATGCCTAGTTTTTGTAACGTCAGCTGCACCTATTAAACACGGACCCTTGATTTGGCAAGTGAAACCAGAAAATGTGCTAAATCCTCACAAATACAATGTAATGATGTGTGAAAAAATGAAGAATAAATTTCCCACTAAGTATTCCTGCTATACAGAATGGGCATACATAAAATCATGCAAGTCACTGTGATTAATAGCAACTTAACATTTTTATAGCCCTTCATCCAGAAGAATCTCACAGAAATTACTGTATGGAAATAGAAAACAAGGATCGTTTTACCACAGCTGAAATACAACCAAAAGGTTTTACAGCTGTACATCTGTGCCGGGAGCCTGCTCTGCCACAGAAACCTTGCAGGCTCACGATCTGTATCTGGAACAAAGACCCGCCTAGCAGTGCAACACAACATTTTTTTTAGAGCATATGAATGCTTCTGAATGACCGAGTACAGCGGTGAGTTGAAGGCTGAACAACACTTGAGGCGCACAGAAGCTCGTGCTTGATAGTAAAGTCTGACTGACGTATCAGTGCTTACTCCAAGCAGCAGCAGAGGCACACCGGCTGCTTTGCTGCGTGTAATCAGTTTGACAGCCCCCAGGAATTGCTGAGTCTCCATGACCCTGGAAAGACAGTTTGGCACATACATTAAACAGTCAAATACCTCCCCTCCAACTGTTTATTCATCTCCACAAGTCACAGACCTTCCCAGCCTGCGCTCACATTAGCACTGAGTGGTTAGATAACGATGGAAGAATCTTCCACGTGTCCTCACAGTTGTTGCAGTCAGAACCCTCAGATGAAAATATTGCTGGATTAAATACTGCCTTTGAAGCAGAATGGTGCTTCAGTAGCACAGACAACACAGTGAGTAATGTTGTATAATTGAATAAATCCAATGATTCTGTTGGGAGGTTTTTTTTCCCTTAATTTTTGGCCATGTTCCCATTAGATGTAGTTACTAAACTTGATTTTTGTTCTTTCTCATGCCAACATTTTTAACTTACCAGAGTGCTCATCTGTAATCTAGGAAGAGCTGGATGGTCATTAACACTTTTTCCTATTCCCAGATACTAGAGACAAAAAGGCAGAAAAAAAAAAAAAATATATATATATATATATATATATAGTAAAAATAAAATAAAAATTCACAGTCAGTGAAACCTAAGACACTTCTGAACATGAGGTGTGGGCTCTTCAGAACTATGAGAGCTTATGAATGTTTTGTTTCTTTCTTTCACATAAGGTAAAGAGTTGTAAGTAGTGCAGGGAGCTGAAATGATCTGTTCCTTCCAGTCTATAAGGGAAAAATGCTTATTGGAAGATTCTCTTGAAGTTACATTTGGAATTGTGGAATTAAGAGTCCCTGTCCAAAGAGCCATTTGAATGATGGAGTTTCCTGCCCTTCT